ACAATTAAAAAAAAAAAAAAAAATTTCCAGCTAGTGAGAAATTAATGCTCATGTTTTGTGGAGTGGGGTAAAGCTGAAAGCTTTTTATCATCCTACCCTCCTCATAAGAGTAAACCTCTTAAAATTATTTTTTGTTGGGATCTCTAGCCTTGATTGGCAACCAGAATAAGAGGATGATTCTGAATTCAAAACTGGAGAAGGCAATGGGGAAATCCTTCCATCTTTTCAAAGAGCAATCACAACAATGCAGTTTACAAATGTTAAAAAAAAAAAGAAATGTGGTTCTCCACAGCTTTCCTATGACTTGAAGGGACATGGCACTTAAAGATGAGGATGCCTGAAACATTTTGATTTTTTTTTTTTTTTTTCCTGTGGTAAGCATTTTTGACCCCCCCCCCCATTGTTGCTCTGTAGCAAATTGAATCAGTAACTTGAGAGAAGGTTTTTTTTTTTTTTTTGTTTTTTTGTTTTAATCTTTTTAAATCTATCCTATAAAATCAGGCTTAACAAATTCCTATTTTCCCCAGTAGTAGTAATAGTTCCAGGGATTTTTTTTATTAACTTTTACATCCTGGCCTAAGTAAACACACCTAGAATTTCTAGCTGTTTGAGACTGACCTGCTGTAGTAAAAGTTTTGTAAAAGTACACATTCTTCACTTTGGCCTAATTTGATCTGGTCTTATAAACATGTAACTGATAATGTGACAGGTTTAATTTCACCTAATGATTAACAGTTATATTCAGAGGTAACATTAATATAAAAGCTCTTTGGAAAAAAAAATAAAGGCTATAGACACAGATTTTTAAAAAAATTTAAATGTTGACAAAGAAAATAATAATTTGAGAATGATTTTCCTTTCCACTTGCTACATTTTAAAGAAAAAAAAAATCTTAAAATTGTTATGACATCAGTTCAGTACAAAAATAAAATGATAAAAATATTTATATTGTTCAGACTGTTGTCCTCATCTTGTCATATTCACAACGTTTCGTTCGTTGTACACTCCAGCCTTCTTCAGGTGATATACATTGGAAATTCAGACTGAACCCCTTTCAGGGTAGATTGTTCTAGTTTCACATGCCATGCCTTTTCTGCATATCTAAGTTTCAGTTATTTTCCTTTCAAAAACTAAACTCTCCAAGTTTTTGTTCATCTCTGTTGTGGCCAGAAAAAAAAAAATCTCCATTTATCACAACCATTTTATTGGTTACTTAGTAATTAGAGTTCGCAAAAGTAATTAATGAATTCTGTAAAATAATTTTTTTTTCTTAATTCAGTTTTACATATGAAGAAGTAAATGAGAATGGTTTTGTTTTAGACACAATGCTTAAATTTTTATGAAATTTTCAGTGTTTTGTAAGCTGATGGTAAAAATTTTCATATCACCTTTTAAATCTAACTGCAAGCTACAATAGTGTAACTGTTATTTGGGCAATAAACTAATTTTATTTGAAACTCTCAAACTGCCCACAAGAAAAAAAAAAAAAAAAAAAAGAATTGTACAGGGTGTGGTAGAAATACTTCCCACATAATAGTAAGACATTAGCTAGATGAAGACACCGTTGTCACTAATGTCTTAACCATTATGTAGGAGATATTTTTGTCACATCCTGTATAGGTTTTTAAAAAATAAAATAAAATTTTAAATAAATTTTGGTAAATATTCCTAATATGAAGGGGGTGCTGAAAAATTCTTGACCTGACACACTTCTTGAAATTAATATTCTGATTACAACTTTCTATTCAGACAAGTATGTGGTCAATTTGGTTGTTTTATTCATGTTTCAGCAGCTTTGCTCTCCTGCCTTCTTCAGGTATTTCGGCCCAGTCAACTTGAGTCATGTTTTAAATAGCTTCTTCAGATAAAATCTTTCATATGGATGTTATGCATGGCTCCAAACTCGTTAAGAAATACCTGGTAACTGTATACAATTGCTTTCTCAGATCAATGGTTAAAATTGACTTTGAGCTGTCTGTAGGTCTTGACAAGAACTATCCTTCTTTAAACATTGTGGACTAGTACTACAGAATTACAAAGAACTGTACTAAATAACAAAAACCACATCACTTGATGACTGTCAACAGTGGCAACGATTAAAATGGATAACACGTGTAACATGAGAAAATAATGCAATCAAGATGCTGACATTCCACACCACTTCAAACAAAAGGTTAGGAAGAAAGGAAGCCTCTATCAATACTGGAAAGAACAATAAGTTACTGGACTTGAGAAACCTATTTTCTTGAAAAATTGTTTTAAGAGAAAGATTTTATGAGAGCACTGGCTGCTTAGTCAATGGATGCCAAATCTTTCCTTATAAGGAAACAGCTAATACAATTACTATGGAGATAAAGTGGTTCTCCTGATCTCCCCACTTAATAGAGATCTTGTATCCATCACTTCTCTCTTTGGGTTGCTAATCCATTTCTTCTAATGAACCACAATGTATGACTTTTCCACATTACCCAACCCAAGGATTGAACTTAGAACTACCATGAAATTGGATGTTTTAGCATAATCTTTAATCCATTTGTGGACAATTCAGTGGCATAATTTTAGCGTCTTAAACCTAATTTCTGTATTTAGATGACAAAAGTGTTGGAAAAAATCTCTTAGTTGATGGATAAAAATATTGTTTATAGTGAAGTCTTTAACCAGGTGGAACCATTCTCGGACTGAATAATATAAGAAATGGTTACAACTAAAACACAATATGGCCTAGAAAATTAATTATAAATAGGTAGCTAATCTTTCACACTCTGTGTGTGACTTTATTTGCTGTACAAAAAGTTTATCCTGCCACTGAAGATGACTCTGATCCCTGAACAATAGTGTTTGAATTTAATAGTTGTGATGTCGTATCCTGCTAAGGAAACAGAAAACAACTCTGAGTGAAGTTAACAATAAAGTTACTGAAATTGAGAGGCCTTGAAAAAGAATGCAGTGGAAAGGAGAGTAATATTAATAATACAGAATGCTAAAGGGTAAGGTCAGGGTATACCAAATACAGGAACTTAAAAAAAAAAATAAAAATATGGTGGTCATATATTCATTCTGGTTTAGTAGAAGAAATGGACAAGTGACACAAAGGTATAGAGAATTTATATGAAATATCTATCCAATATACACCTGAGGAAGGCTGGAGAGTATAAGAGACAAAATTTGAGTATAACAAATGAGATTGAACATCTTATATATACAGTGAGATGGTTTGATTTTAGTGATTCATAGCTCATTCAAAAGTTCTAGAAAACTTAGGCACAGGGAATGATTTCCATTGAGCTCAGATTCAGGGTTGCCAGATTATGCAACAAGTAATAATTGGCAGTAATAATTGGGAAATAGACCCTTCGTATTTGTTAATTTTTTTTTTTTTTTTTTAACTATTTCATTTAAGCCACAGTTGATAATTTTTACTGAAAATTATGTCTGAATCTATTTTACAAATGAATATGCAAGTTGTATCTACATCTAGAGAAGCATACTGTACCATTTGTACCAAATAACAGAAACATCACTCAAGGACTTTTAACAGCAGCAATAGCCAAAATGGGTCACACTTTGTGACTCTAAGAAATTAATGACATAATCAAGATGCTGAGGTTTCACACTACTTCAAATAAAAGATTAGGAAGGAAAACCCCCATCAATAGTAGAAAGAGTGGTAACTTGAGAAACCTATTTTTCTGAAAATTTGTTTGGAGAGAAAGATTTTACATATTTCACCTGACAGTAGTACTGGCTGGTCAGTCAATGAATGATGACTGTTTCCTTATAAGGAAATGGCTAATTACCATGCTTTGTGACCAACTGGGTAACTCTGCATTTGTCAGATGCATCTTTATTTGTCTATTTAATTAACAAGATAGGAATTGAAAAAGTATTGAAAATAATTCAGATTTTGTCTCTTGAATTATCAGCCTTAGCTCTATCCTCCTCCTCAGAAACCTTTAATGCCTGCTATATTTTCGATGAGAATAAAGGACACATGGCCCAGTAGATAAAAGCGTTGGTTGGATCCAGTGACTTGACCCAAAGAGTTGTCAGTTCAATACCTGGCTACTGCAGTAGTGAACAAAAACTTGGAGAGTTGAGTTAAAGGGAGATAACTGAGACAGCCAAAAGATGTATGGCATGTGGAACTAGAACAATTTACCCTGGTGGATAAAATAAAGGGTTCAGTTTGAAATTCCAATTACCTGAAGAAGGCTGGAGTGTACAATGGCTGAAACGCTGTGAATATAACAAAAAAGATGAGGACAACAGTCCGAACAATGTAAATAGTGTAGAGAATAAAAGAAGAGTTAAAATAATTCCCAGTGTAAACACAATTAAACCCCTGCCCAGCTTTCTACTGATGGGTTAGTGACCTCCTCACCACCATTACATCTCTATTCTCATTCACATTTGTGTTCAGTGAAAACTAAGAAAGGCCCCCTGCATCTTCACACAGCAACAAAGAAGAAAACTTATGCCACTTGAGAAATAATAACACTAGTTCTGTTTCTGATATTATAAAATAAGTGTTTTATTCAGGGTTCTACTTGCTTGGCCTGGGTTGGTAGGTAGGTAGGTGACACTTTTTGTCAATTTCTGCTAAGAACCTGTCTGCTAGCTGTAAAACAGAAACACCTGAGATTGAGATAAAGTTGCACTTTTCTCCTATGTGGATGTTCCCATCTTAGACCACCCAGAACACTTTTGTTTTGCATGTTTGTCAAGTTAATTTTTTCAAGATTTCTTACTTTACTTACCTCTGACACTCTTCACTTGTGTTCATCTCCATGCACAGGTATTAATCCTCTTAATACCTTGTCTCTCTATTTACCTGTTAATATCTACCTCTCTTGAATTTTCATTTGAATTCATTCTTTTAGACTGCAAATCTCAAGCAAACTAATATTTTTTATTTGTACTTAATTTTTTTTTTCTTTTTGTAATTTGTCATCAATCATTAAATCGTGCTTTAACTAATTCAAATTTTTTTTTTTTTTAAGCCGAGAAGATTTTCTACGCATTCCAGAACTTGCTATCAATCCACTCGGAGATCGTATTGTTCACTCTTTCTTTCAAGAAAGGTGAGTATCTGTTGAATTAAGGAACACAACACAAAATCGGGATTGCTTAATACAGAAATTGAGAATAATAATTTACATTTTAACAAATAAAATTTATTAGTGAATTTTTAAATATTTTCTTGCTCTCTTTTGCAAAGACTGTTTTAATGTGATTGTCATTTCTTTGGTAAACTTAAAATTTCAATTTTTTTTTGTGTTCAAAAGCAATGAAGAAACTGTCAACTTTCGCCAGTTCATGCGTGTTCTTGCCAGATTCCGTCCTACAAAGACAAAACTTGAGAGAAACAAGCTCAACTCCAGAGAGGAAAAACTTAAATGTAAGTTGCTTTTCTTTATTATTTTCTTCCATAGAAAAGCTAGGATATTTTATAAGACTATTTTTTTTTTTGTTGTTTACAATAAAAACTACATTATACTAATTATAATTCCAAGAAAAATGTCTCCCTCATATATATATATATATATATATATATATATGCATCGGATTGCTAAGGCTACCAGTGCTTTCGGCAAACTTTGTCATTGCTTGTGGAATGAGCGGGGTATTCAACTGGATATGAAAATTTGGGTTTACAGAGCTGTTGTATGGCTCAGAGTCGTGGACTCCATACAGGTACCATATATGCTAGCTAGTTGTTTTCCATAAAAGCCTGCTGCGTTCAATCTGTGAAGTTAAGCTTCAAGATAGGACATCTAACATAGACCTGTTCAACAGGCGTAATATTGGAAGAATCGAGACTTATCATACAGTCTCAGTTACGGTGGACTGGTCACGGCTTGAGAATGTCTGATGACAGGATACCCAAGATCCTAATGTACAGCCAGTTAGATCAGGGCTACAGGAATGTAGGATGCACATGGCTAAGATACAAAGACAAGCTGAAAAGCAACTTGTCAGCAGTCAATATACCACATAACACCCTTGAGCGCTTAGCTTTGGAGCGGGTAGAATGGAGATCAATGTGTTTTAGTGGACTCAGCAATTTTCAATCTGCTTGTCTGAATCATCTTCCAGAAGTGAGAGCAAGATCTAAAAGGTCAGCCAATCTAACAGTGATCTCATTTCACAATCCTCACACTTGCTCCATATGTGGCCTCCTTTGTAAATTATTAGTGGGTCTTAAATGCCACTTAAGATTATCGCACAAACTTTCATAACTGAATCAATAAGCTGTCAGATCCTCATATGTCAAAACCGACGGGAGAGTCCATTATATATATATATATATATATATATATATATATATAATAATCTAGTGAGAGAGAGGAAGATTTTGCTTCATCAGATCTGGCAGTTTGAAAACAATGCACTGAAAGACACAATGCAAAGAAAGCCTGCTGTAATCAGAGAAGCAGTCAATATTAAAATGGCTTCTGATGATTATTTTATCACTGCAATATATAAAAACAAACTAGTAAAAATTAATGCCTTTTACTAATATAAAATAGGTGTTATAAAAAAACAAAACAAAACATGCATACACACATTTTTCAATAAATGAATTAAAGTTGAACTTTTCTTCATCTATTGAATATTATTGCTCTGGTTATCTACTGATAACCAGAAGTATAATATTCATAATAGTGCTCTTTAACAGAATTTCTCCTAGCCTGAAAAAAAAAAAAAGTTAAATTCTCATAATTTTTACACTTTTTTCAGTTGTTTGTGTGTGTGTACACACACATATATATATATATATATATATATATATATTGTTTGATTTAATCCAATTGTTCTTACCAAATTGTGAAATGAAGGCTGTTCTGAATGGGTTCACTTCCAGATCCTTTCACATGTACACTGGTCTTACGCAGTCTGATCTTCATCAATGAACTTCCTGATATAGTGATACAATCTTTTTCAAAAACTTTAAAAAAAAAATTATTTAAAAAAAAAATATTAATTATATTTCTCATGTCATTAAATCTAATAACTAAACCAACCACTATTACCATATGAACATAAAAGATAAGTAATTTATTAATTTTAGAGTGGCAAGTATCAACTATAAATTATTATTTATTAATAATAAAAGGAACTTAACTTAATATAAAATAGTAAAATTACTAGAGAAATATATAAAATAAAAAAATATAAATAAATATAACTTAAAATAAAAATGTATAAAAAAAAAATCCAGTAATAACCCAATGATATGTAATACTTATTAAATAAGTAAATAAATAAAAAAAATACCCTACACTGAAAACTAAACCACAGTGGTTTAGAAAAATTAATCTGGGTCTACATGCTTAAGTAGATATTTATTTTTATGCCAACAAATGACCATCAGTTCTTTTCTCTTAATTAGTAAGCCTGGATCATTTAAATGTTGTAAGATAATTATTTTTCAGCTAAATACAGACTGAATTTATCTCCCTTGCCATTAAATGGCTTAGTGCTTGTCATTATATTCCATTTAATAGAAGGTTTACTGGAGTGTTTCAACTGCGTGAAATAATTAGACAGCAGTGCTGTTTCTATATTTGATATTAGTCAGTCATACGGTGATAGTAGAAGCAAAGCTTGCAAGGATTCTTAGAACCAAAATAGACTTTAACATCGCTACTGGAACAAATCCAGCTTGATATACAACATTGCCGGTCATACATTGACCATTTAATAGACAGGTTTTTTTTTTTTTTTTTTTTTGCATTTGCATTTATTATTGTAAACTTTTACATTTCTTTGTTGGAAAAATGTTTGCTGAATATGATATGTCATGATATGGCTATCAATGTTACTAGTGCAGCTATAGCTAATCTTGAGAGTATTTTTGTTAAAAATATATTTCTTTGTTAAAAAATAAAAAGATGATTTCCTCTACTGATTTCTTTCTTGTTTTCCTCCAACACTTAGAATTAAAGATTGCTTCTTTTTTTTGTTCAGTTGCATTCAAAATGTATGACTTGGATGGAGATAGCAAGATTTCCAGAGAAGAACTCTTGGCTGTTCTTCACATGATGGTTGGCACAAATATTTCCGAAGAACAGGTAAAGCCTTTAATAAAATCTTTGAATTTTGTATTATAGACAATTGCACTTGTATAAATAGTTAAATTCCTAATTTATATTACTTATTGGTATGTTTATGGAAAATTGGCACTAATCTTGATGGGGAAGGGAGGTATGATTGTAAAAGGATGATAATCAATGGCATTTGTGGAGGATATGTAGAAACAATAGTGGTAGTAAAGTATAATGATAATAACAGTGGAAGTAACAAATATTAATGGCGATAATAGTAGTAGTGATGATAGTAACAGAAGTAAAATAATAATGATAATAGTAGTAAAAATAATGATAATAATGAAATTAATCATAGTAATACTAGACAACTTGTCAAATTTGTGTTTGCTGCTAGCATTTTTGTATCACTTACCTGTGAAAATTGAATAAAAAAAATCTTCACTTTGAGTCCTGTAGAGGAGTTGTAATTTTTCCTAGTATAGCTTTCAAGCCAATTTTTTTTTATCCAGATTTGTTACACTATGACTGTTCATCTAGAGAAAAAGTGTAAATTAAAAATAGTGCTAAACAATCTAAAACTATAAGCAGAAATTAATTCTGAAATTCACTTAATATTAGAAAATGCTGCTTTAATAGAAACATAAAGAGATCTAATAAAATTCTGTGGTTCCTCATGAACAAACACATATACACAATTCTTATTCACTTTAAACCCAATTTTGATTCAAACTTCTAATTCTTACACAATTAAATCTATTGGTTATTATTCACATAATCTCATCTTTAACAGTATATCATGCAATTCCATCTTCAGTTTGAAATCCTTTTTCTTTTTAAGCTTGAAAGTATTGCAGATCGAACAATTGCTGAGGCCGACACTGATGGAGACAGACATATCTCTTTTACAGAATTCTTAAAAGTAACCTTTTTTTTAATTTTTTTTACTTCTACTCTCTATAAATTCATTTGGTTTTGCAACATAATTCAATAAAGCCTAAGATTAACTATACATTTTCCAAAACCAAAGTAGAAAAGTAATTTTCTTTTAGAAGGAAAATTGTTCTTGGAAAAAAAATTTAAGTATTTTTCTCTTGTATGAAATTCTGCCAATATTTTATGGAATTTTCATGGATTTTGTTTTCCTACATTTCCAGGTGATGGAACGAGTGGATGTTGAACAGAAAATGAGCATTCGTTTCCTGCATTGAATGTATTCCTGACGGTTGACATTTGTCTTCCTATACCATTGGGCCTGTCCTTTGCTGTTACCACAGCAAACACTTGAGGGGGACACCACACCACCACCACAACAAAGAAGCTGCTGCTATTAGTTCTTTTGCTTCAGTTTCTCCCTCTCCCATATTTCTTTTTGGACACAACCCAACTTGCTCTTCTTTGTTTTCTACCCAAAATGTTACATATGTAAACTCACCTGGGTCTCCAATGAGTGCCTACATGCCAAATTTTCAATTATCTGTCTCATTTTTAGTAGCTTCATAGGCAGTTCTGGATGCAAAATAGACATAAGAATGAATTTACATTGTGCCATTTATCCCATCTGTAGTAATTTGATTAATAATCACTCATCAGCTGATGTGTATACTTGTGACTGAAGTCTTTCCCCCCTTTACAATATCATTCAATTTATATAGACTATAATTCAGACCAATGAAAATTGATATGAAATTTTCACTCTGATTTAGGGTTTATAGCCATATCACATTGAAACACTGGTTTTCATATGATAACTGAAGTTAAGCAATGTAGAGCCTGGTCAATGCCTAGATGGATAACTGCTTGGGAATACCAGGTGATGTAAGCTTGGATGTACAAGTGGTGTAATGGATAATGACTTGGACTTGGAAGTCGGCAAGCAGAGTTCCAATTCTAGTCGAGTTTGTTATATTCACTTATGCACAAATACCATCTTCTTCCCCTATGCATTAGTAGTACTTGTATCAGTAAAATCATTATCTTCCAGAAAATTCTTACAATCTAAAGATATTTTCTGGCTTTAAATAACCTGCAAAAGGTTAAGCCACAAAAAAAAAGAAAAACTATCAATTTGCTCTGATTAGCTAAGCTGGTTCATATAAAGATTTACTTATATTTCTGTAACTAAACATATTTGAATCTATATATTTTTTGTACAAGACAAGTAAATTATCCATAATCTGATCCCTGTGGGCTGCACACTATTCATTGTCTATCATTTGATGCCATCCAAACAAAACGGCTCCTATACTGCTAAGTTGTATTCCTTAAGATTTGGTTGTTTTTACTTCAAACAAAACAAGTTAATTTCTGTTCATACTAAGATGAATGGCACAATTTAAAAATTTTTTTTTTTTTTTGCCAAATCAATCTTCATCCCATGACTACAGAAAAAATAGATATGTGTTTATTATAAAATGCTTTTTCTGTAGCTTGAAAAAAAAAAAAAATATGGGTAGGAAGATGGATACAAATCTGTAAATATGGGGTTTGAAAATAAGGGGTAGGGGGATAGGGTAAAACAATATATATCACTTGTCATCCTTGCAGTCTCTTGTGGGACTGGATTTATTTGTACAGAAAGGAGAAATATACATTTTACATATAGAAATGAAAAACAAAAAATTTTTAATCAGGAGTCAATATTACCATATTGCAAAAAAAAAAAAAATTTTTTTTTTTTTTTTTTTTTTTTTCCCCTTCTCTTCTCCAAATCCTAGCCATATGCTTTTGGGATCTTTCTGACGAATTTACAGTGGAAATTTTAACAGGAGACTTAAAATGTTTAAGTCTGAAGATTTATTTGTCCCACAATTTTTGGATTTTGGTCTGTGTGTATTGTATAAAAAAAAAAAAAAAAGCTTTAACTTTTTTGTTTTTGCAGTATGGTAGTTAAGTGGCCTTTGCCAATGGTGAAAGGATCATTGATTTGTACTGAATAAAAATGTAAAATGATCATTAAAAACTCGTTGGTTATATTTATGTACATGTTTTGTAAAATAAACAAAGATATTAAACCATATGAGGAAACGAACAACCCACTTCCAATTTAACAATTTACTTATAAAAGGGGAAGCAACTCGAGCTGCTGGAAATTAATACTTGTTAACTGAAAATTATCTATTTCTAGGTAAACTAACATCACTGTTCAGTCTGTTGATCACCCCCCCCCCAAAAAAAAATCATTAACAGCAGATCTGATGCTATCACTACTGGTCCACTAGCCAAGGGTTTTTTCATGTTGAGGAACTGATGATAGTCAAATCAGCAGCCATTGAAATGAAGGACTTGTATGCTGGAGCATCATCATGCTGAAATAAGACCCTTTTCATCAGTTTTTCTGGGAGTTTGGTGTAATAGCTTTTTGTAACTGGCTTGGCATAGTTGATATAATACTCTCCGTTGATGGTAGGGCCCCTCTTAAAGATAGTCAATAAAACTTTGCTACAGGTGAAATGACCGTTGCCTTTTTGGAGGGGAGGTGCTTTCAGAGTATGGATTGGTTCAAAGTGATGAAACCATCACTCATCGTGGGTTAAAAAAAATGTTCAAGAAAATCAAATAAATACACCTACCAGTGTCAGGTTTTTCCATGTGATCAGCCAGGTGGCACCCACCAAACAGTAACCTTCCTTATGCTAAGTTCATTGTACAGAATATTAACTCACAGGATATGCTAATAGCATTGGCTATTTGATTTATAGTCATCCCTCACCATGTAGGGAACACTATCAATGTTTTCATTAGTGATTGCCCTTGGTTCATCTTCAAGATTCCCATCCGCTCCTAAATTCAGTTGCATTGTTGATAAAGCTGGAGCGTAAGTAATGTAGTAACCATGTCAGCATGAATGTCTTCAGAGGGAGTTAACCCCTTTGTACTGTACTGAGGGTATAGAACACCCCCCTGCCACTGCTAAATTGTCTACTTTCAAGCAAAATTGTTACTAAAATTGTTACATTTTTGAACAGTCAGATGTCAATTTACCTGGGAATAAACAATGCAGAGTTTAAAAAGGGTTGAAATTAATGAAAGATTTCACAGCTCTAGCATTCCTTCCTAGTTAGCTTATGAACTTTTTCAGCTTAACCTCATAATTGGATAGCAATTTTAACTACATCAACTGGCAAAAACTGCACCTTGATAATTTAATTGTAATATATTAAATATTTAAAATATTCTAATCAAAGCAAAATTTCAAATAACTGCTAAATTTGAATACAATTCTTTAAAGCTAAAGAAAATTTTGTCCTTCAAACAGAATTTCTTTCTCAGACAACTTTTCAATGCAAAATGTTGTGATATATTTGACAAAGATTAAAGAAATGTTCTATCGTTAAAGAATCTTGTAAGTAAATTTTTCAGAGACAAGCAAAAATAAAGTTGTCAGATTGGAAATGTTATTTGGTTTGCTGTCCATGGATTGTTGTTTACTAAATCCAACACAAAATGTATTTGCAAGCATAATTACAAAAAATAAAAAAGCCAACAACTTGAAAAATAATTCAAAGATAACAAGAGGAATTATTTATTTACTTTTCATTTTTCTTCAGTGAATGATGGAACAATTTATAGGTAAAGTCAATTATATAGTCTTTATAAAAATTATTTGTATGTATATATTTATGTCTGTAGAAAAAGGTGTATGCATGTGTGTACATATATAAATAGAAATTTGTGTCTGTAATTATCCCAGCTTACGTCTGTCTGTATGCAAACAAGTATCTAGAAATTTGTGTTTATGCACACTAGAAGTGAGATTAAGATGTTCAGTATTAAGTGTTGATAATGGTAGTTAAGGACAATTTGAACTGATGTTTAAAAAAAAAAAAATTAACAAAATCCGAAGCTGTCATAAATCAATGGAGTTGACCAGTGCATAACAAAAAGGTAAAAAATCCCTTTGTCACTAATTGGTAAAACTGTGGATTTGACTTTTCATCGAGCCTCTTCACCCCCACCCCCCAAGGTGTCAGTTTCAGATTTCCAAGTTTTCTAATTTTGGCTGGTACTCATCATGAAGAACTAGAAACGGCCAATTTCTTCAGATGCTCCATGAACACCTGCAAACTCACGTCATCTGTTAACACAGGGGCACCACCATCCTGCAAAATACAACACAAATGATATATACTTTTTTTTTGTGTGCTCATCAGTCATTATAAAAGGCATGAAAATGTACAATACAGCTAACCACACATGAAGAAAAGGTTGGGGGGGGGTACCACTGACTCAACCACCGAGATGTTACTTAGCCATCTTGACCATCGATATTTAAATATTACCACCTTTGTTGAAAAAACAAAACAATTAGATTTAATTAACCAGAAAGGGAAGTATTACTTACTAAATTAAATGGCTACTTAGCAGGTTTTTCCAGATAGTTAATTTATGAAAAAGTTTACGAAGGAATGTCCACCACTATAGCCTAGTAAATAAAGTGAGTATACATAGGTACCTCTGATAGATTGCTAAAACAAAAAAAAACACATGAATAAAAAGGGCCTTAAACTTGAAAATATTTTGTCTAAATGTTTGTAATTATTAAGAGGAAAGATCAAAGTATTTGTTTTTTTTTTTTCCATTTTTATAAAAAAAAAAAAAAATTTCAGTTTCAAATTCCTTAAAAAAAAAAAAAAAATAAATTTTGAAAAAAAATAATTAAGAAAATTAGAATTTATAAAGCTTATTTAAGATATTTTGAAACAGGCATTACTTAGTTTCTGCACCGAAAAGATGTAGTTTAAAAATAATGCAAAGCAGGTGATGAGTGATGATTTCATCATGTATTGACAGCTTACGTGAGGAAAGGTTATCAGACAAAATTAACAAGGTAAATAAGCTTCTAAGGAAAACTTTCAGTGCTCTTTATTATTTTTTTTTTTTTTTGTTCTTAGCTTTCACCTTTATGGAAAATATATAAAAAAAAAAAAAATGAAAATAAGACTTGAGAGGGAGATTAAATTTCATAAGAAAGGTATTTAATTAATTTATAGGTACCTTATGAAAAAATTCATAACAGATCATATAAATTTCATAAAATGATACTAATACTTGTAGGTACCCTTCTCAGTTGAAATTGAAAAAAATCAAATTAACTTCTCCACATGTTTCGTAAAAAATAAAGGCACTAACAGCAGAGAACAACACTTAATTCAAATAACGTGACTTTTTATTGTATTCTTGCTGGTCTTCTGTACATTAGAATTATGGCCGTTTTATGGACACAAGCCATCTCGAATTTTTTTTTTTTTTTTTATATACCATTTCGCTCTTGATTGTTATAAGCTATATAACTTATAATGCTAAAAGAGATCTATTTAATAACACCATTGACTAAACTGAATGCCATTTTTACTAATTTTAGAATATTTTAACTTTAATGTAAAAAAATAATTTCAGAAATAACAATTGTTTTAAAAATTCATTTTTCATCAAAAAGTTTTGCTTTCAACCAATATTATCCATATTCGTAAAAGCAACTTAGAGCTGATTTTCAGGTGTGTGTGTGTGGGGGGGATAAGGTCTGATTTAAAAAAAAAAAAAAAAAAAAATGATTTGCTTTTAACTAATATAATCAAACTGAATGGTATTGAATTTCTAGAGTTTTCATAAAATTAGTTTGGGGGGTAAAAAATATTAAAATATTTTTGCCACGACTTTTTCCATCAATTGTGAATAGTTTCTGAAAGTCATTAACATCCGACAATTATTTTTATTTTTGCAAGATTTTCCAAATTAATGTCTATCATACAAAAAAAAAAAAAAAAAAGCTAAAATTTTATGTTATTTAGTAGTTCTGTTGATACAAAGAGAAACAAGGCTTTTTTTTTTTTTTTTTTTTAAATCAAGTTAGAATGTTCTAAAAAGGAACAGATTTTAATAAAAAATACTTTGTCCTTTGCTCTTAATAATAAACAATTAGACGATAAAACTTTTTTGTCAAGCTTGCTGTCTTTTCCATTATACTATACTTTTTTTTTTCTTTTTAGCAATCTCTGAGGTACCTAAGTATACAATATTTTACAAAAGGCTTTGGACACTTCAAGCCATTAGTCATTTCTATAACTATGTCAAAGTAGTTTTTGAATGAGGAAATGTGACAGACTAAAAAAAATGTGCAAAGAAAATGTTCCAACCATATTTAGTTTACTTTTCCAGTGAAAATTCCTGCATTCATTCATAGGAAATGTTTGTAATTTCAAGCAACGATAAAGAATATGAAGAATAGTTAAGGAACTTAGAATTTCAATAAGTGACATTTTTGAAATGGTCTTGGAGTGTCAAGCCATGAGGTGTTTCAGATTGACTCAAAAGCTGTAGTAAAAGATAATAGTATAGAAACAGATTAAAACAGCAAAAGTTCAGCCAAATAAAGCAAGTAACAAATTGGTCCAACTTAGCATCAGTAGATATCACAAAGTACATCTTTCTAGAGCATGGACACTAAAGTGGGGGTGTATTTCTAAGAAACCAGTATTAAACAAAAATCATTTGAAGGCAAGATTAAGTTAAGACATGAGCTATAGAATGTAGATGCTGAATGAGATCTTATTCTAATCAAAGAAATAAGGATGGAGTTGCATTTTAATCAATAAAATATTGTTAGAAGTCCAAAAAAGCAAAATCCATCACATATGATGAAAACTGAAGTTTAGACACAAGAATCTGATACTTTGGTGGGGACACAAAATCAACAGTAGCTTTAATAGTGCTTAACATATCCACTTGACTTGGATGAAGACAAGATTCAACATGATAAAGCTCTATACCATAAATCACTTGCGACACAAGAGTGGCTGAGTAAGATCTTTTCACTGTATTGAAAGATTGGCCAGCTCAGAACTGCGACTTATCATTGAGCAAATATGGACAGAACTGAAGAGAAGAGTTCATCAGAAGAATCCATGGAATCCTGAAGAGTTGCGAGAACTCAGTCACAATGACATTTCATTTCTGAAGAGCATGTATGCATCACTTCCTAGGTACACTAAAGCAATTCATGATAAGGGAAGACATGATAAATTAACAATTTACAGCAACTTTTTGAAAAACTATTATAATAATTTTCCAAAGACATTTTACTATAGATGACTTGGTTTATATAAAGTGGTTGAAAACTTGTACACTGCCATTTTTAAAATTTTTTTCTTTTTTTTTAAGCCATTTAATATTCTTATCCAGTAAACTGGCTACAAAGTGATAAATAGGCACAAAAATAACTCCAATAGTGATAAGGTTTCATCTGTAGAAGATGTGATGTGAAACATCCACTCTTTAATTCTGGTCACCAATAATTTACAAAGAATTATAACTTGAAAATTTAAAAAGTACATTAAACTATAGAAAAATTAAACCCCCAAAAGGTAAATAAGTTTCCTTACCAGGATGGAAAAAAAAAATATTCAAATATTCAAAGAAATATTTGTAAAACTCCTTGACAAATTTTCTTTCCATAAAAAAACCCACTTGTCCATCACCAACAACAATGAATACAACAATCCAGGAATTTTAAGATTTTCAATGCATTAAAAGTTTTAAAAATATTAATCATTTTCAATGTTAACAGTAAGGATTGCAAATTTTATTAACCAAATTAATCAAGAGCAGAAAATCATCTACCTTCTCTTAAGTTTGTGAAATGCACTTTATAAGCATTTCCCTGTTTAAAAAAAAAAAAAAAAAAAAAAAAAAAATGTAACAACTAATGCTACATAACTTTAAAGGTTAAACAATGAGACATATTAAAAAGATTTCAAAACTAAAAACAAGTCAAAGACTACAAGCAGACTAATAGGAAACCATGACATTAAATATATTTAGTGAAGAGGACAAAAAAAAAAAAAAAAAAAAAAAAAAAAAAAAAAAAAATTTAATATGTCACATAGTAAATCAGTATTTTGAGCAGACTGACATTTTCCAAGTAACAGTATCTGTAAATGTTATTTGGTGAGGATTGGATTTTGATAAAAATGTTTATCAATGATAAAAAAAATAAAAAATAAAATCAAAAAAGTTATAAATAAATTCCTGAATTGCAAATAACAAAAACATTCCCCAAAATTATATGCCGTCACCAGAAGTAGAAAGATTTTGCAATATACCTGGCTTAAAATTGGTGTCTGCTGAGAGAAAAAGAATATCACAAATTGAATTTGATCTCAACAATATCTTTGCTCTTTGAAACAAGGATATTTTGTTTATAAGACTAAAATTAAGTAAAAAACCAAATACCAAAAAGAAAAATTAGTTACCAGTTAGAATGTAATCTCTGGCCAGATCACAACTTCAGTATTTGATTAACAATCCAAGTTAAAAATGTTATATTCTCTTTATAGTTTGATAATATATTTTTTATTAACCAAATATAAAAAGTGCCTTTATCCCCTAATAATATGAATTTATAATAAGCCTAAATGCTAAATACAGATATACAAGCTAACTATGCCTTTGAATATGATTCATTTTTTTTAATTATAACATTTTACTTAGCCTTGTATTTCCAAACTGAAGTTTAAAAAATTTGTTTATCACTTGAAAAAGTTCTTTAGAGATTTTATTGCTAACCAGTTGTAAAAAGTTAATTTTGTTATACAGTTAGCAGAAATTTTATTTATGCCAAATTACAAAGTCAAAGTTGTAATAAAGGAAGTTAACGGTTTAGCTTTGTTAATGCCATCTGTATCCAATAGTTTAAGAGAAAAGTTGTAAAAGACTGATCCCTTTTCTGTTCTTCCAAAATATTAAATTCTGCAGAAATAGATCAGAAAGAAAATGAAAAGAAATCTCTCAATCATTTCTTTTCACTTATCTTGTGTCTTGCTATGAGCTGTAGCAAAATAATTCCTATGTGGGTCACCATGTAAACAGCTAATAGCACAGGTTTGTTTTATTTGTTAGCAAAAAAACAAAAACAAAAAAAAAAACAAAGGAAATCTAACCTTTAACATCAATATAAGATGCTTTTTCAAGGATCCAACAAGACTATAAATCAGAATTAATCCATGTAAAACATTTCTAACTTAAAAAATCTAAAGTTCCAACTTGGACATACATAACAAAAGACAAGTTTCTTTGAAGCTCCACTATCAATTGTTCATATGAACAAAACAAGCCATTTTGTAGAATTTGAAAGAAATACATAATGTACTGAAAGCCACATTGAGAATAAAATGTCTTTGAAGAGAAGTTGTGAAAAATATTGATGTTAATCAATATTTAGCTGTTAAAAGCAAACAAATTTTCTGTAACAGCAACAAGGAAAAAAAAAAAAATGATAAACTTGTTTTTAATTAGTTGTAGAAAAACTCCATAAACCCTGGTCTCCATATATTTGATAATTGATGAAGAAAAAAAAAAAAAAAAAAAAAAAAAAAAAAAAAAAGAAAAAAGGTAAGACATAACTGTCTATAGTGTATGTAATAACTGAGATCATTATCACAATGAGAGTCCAAAAAAATCTGACTTTTTAGCTGATTTGCTAAATTAAGGGAAACTATGAAAAATTGAATTATGTAAGTATGATCGCATACATTGACACAAATGAATAAAGAGAACCACAAATATTTTTATCTTATTTTCATAGCAGAATTTAACCAGTATTTTTTTGTTAATGATATCACTTTAAAATCTTTCCTCAGAGTTAATTATGTGCACACTGAAATTCAAGTATTCTCACATGCCATTACAATATGCCAACATCTTTTGGAAAAAAGTTGCATCAGAATAAATTTCAATAAATAAAATAATTATTGATAATAAAAATTAATTTTTAGAATAAATCACACCAAAATCAACTAAATCTCTACTACAAATCTATATAGAGAATAACATTTTTGTATGTTAAATGTATAGCTTGTAATTGAAAGGACTATTTGACTATATATATATATATATATATATATATATATAAAAAGGTGATACTGATAAAGTTAAAGATATTTGTCTTGCCATTCTACATTTTCGTTGATTTATAATTTCTGGTTTAATAATTAGAAATGGAAACAATCTCCAGCTAAATATTCAAAATATTGAACTGTGACAAGGTTCTGTAGGTGATGAGATTTTACAAGCTTCTATCATTTGAAAACATGTAAATTCAAAGAAAGATTTACAACAAAAGAATTGATTCAGTACGTACCAGGCCCCATGCATTGTTGTGTGTTTGAGAAGGATTCACTTTAGACAGGAGGAAACGTGCCTGAAAGAAAAGAATAAATTTTTAACAGGGAAAATTAAAGAAAAAAGAAAAGAAAAATTTTTATCAAAATGTTTTTGTTTTTTTAAAGAACTCCAATGCTATAAAAAAAAAAAAAAAAAAAAAAAAAAAATCTACTCATGATTGCATAATTCACTTCCGACCAACCCCCATATGTATTGAAAAAATAATAACACTATGTTTATTAGGGGTGGGGGGAAAACTGGCTGTATTAACAATTCTTAAATTTATTAACCTTGCTACTCAGTTCCATTAGGATTTAAGAAAAAAAAATAAAATAAATAAATAAAAATAAAAAAAATGTGGTTCTATAAGCTTCCCCCACCCACAAAAAGGGATAAAAACCTGTTAGTTTTCTGTGACTTGTCTACTTGATAAATGTACTAAAGTACAGTGCAGTAGACCGAGTAGCCTTTTCTACTCATTCAATTCTACATGCAGTGACTTTTAGATAACCAGAAGCATGACTAAAACTAGCATAAGACTATCAGACAAGTCACAATCATTTTCAAATATTAAGAAAGCAGCAACGATATAAAATAAAGCAAATGTTCCTTTTAACTACATACAATTTCAAATAATTTAAAGTTAGTCCTGATGCCATTAACTACTCATCTTGAAAAAGAAATTTAATGTAAAAATAAGGACTAAAATTTTGCTTTTTTATGCCATTTAATTAGAAGTTAAAAAATAATCTTTCTCTAAGAGCCATCCTCATTAGAAATTTAAAAAAGAACAAATTTGGATCATTACAAAAACTTCCAAATGGATTTCATTATACAAAGTTACCTGAGAACCACCAGCATCTGTGTCAATGTATCTGGGCATGGGGAACCTAGTCTGTAGAATTTCTTGTGCATCATCAACAGGAGCCTGTAAGAGTTGCTTAAAATTTTCATATTCAGGCTGTGATTGATAGCCCTGTTTTCGCCATAATGCTATGGTCTGAAAAGCAAGAAAAAAAATTTCATGTTCGCAAATGATTGAGCTATATGGATTGTATTTCCTCTAGGAAAACATCTGATTTGATAGACATGCACACACAAAACAATGGCAAAAAACAGACAACAAAAAGACACACACAGAGAAAAACACATACAGTGGAGCTTAAATAAAGTGGGAATGAACAAGAAGTTTAAAAAAAAAAAAAAAAAAAAAAAAAAATTAAAAAAGACATGTCATGGTTTATCTATGTACAAAGATCAACTGATTGGCTGACCAAGATATAAATGTAGACATACCAATTAGTACGCTAAAAGACATGCAAGTATACTAGAATACAACAGTTGACCAAACAACACTTATTGGTCATAATACACATGCATGTTTTTTAGTCTACCGATTGGTGTGTCTACTTACATTTATATCTTGGTCACTCCCATGAGCTTTTCAGCCAGTCCTTGTATATACATGGTATAAAGCTCAATTTAAGGTAATCTCCTCAAAAGTAAAATTTATTTCAAAATGGTGTTCTTTTATACATGAGGAATCATTTTGAATAAGAGAAATACTCTTTTGCATAATCCTTTAAAATAAAGAATAATAAATGCCTTAGAAAATGCACATACCTCTCCATGGAAAATAACTATGTGGAAGAAAGTGTCCATCAATAAAATTCTATCAGCCATTATACTGCTGGTGTCCAGTAAGACTGGCTAAAATAAGAAATAAAATAAAAAAAAATATATAGGTTTTCTTAGCCATTAAATAAATTTATAAACCAACATGTACATCAGTTTGAAAATTTGATATGATGGCTTTTGCTTTAATATAAGATGTTAAATATTATCAGATGGCAAAAATTTGTGCACAATTAGAAAATGAAAACAAAATTTTACATAAAAAAAAAAAAAAAAAAAAAAAAATTAGTGAAGTACATGGTCTCAATTGTTTTTAACATCTGTCTCCCATCATTCTATAAACTTGTTCATGCTATTTTGATAGAAACATAGGTTTTTTGGATGGAAGAATGTGAAGTAGTTTTCAAATGAATGCACACAGTCAAATTTTTTGTCATTTAAATTGTTCTGTAGAAAAGAAATGGAAATCTGAAGGAGCCAAGTCATGAAAATAAAGTAGGTGCTGGAGGGTTTCCCATCTTAACTCTTTAAGCTTCTGCAAGGTCTGTTTTGCAACATGCAGTCTTGCATTGTTGTAGTGAAAAAGGAAACCTTTTCAATTTGCCAAAATCAGCCATTTTTCTTGAATTGATATTGATGAGTTGGTGACAATACTTATTTGCAGTTATTGTTTCACTGACTGGAAGATGCAAAGTGATTATCCCTTTGCAATCCCAAACAGATAGCAACACATTCATTGGATGCAAGCCTGCTTTAGTCAAAAAGTTCTGCGTTTGTGTAAAACATTATCATAAACAATCCATATTTCATCGCCTGTGACAATTCTGCCCCAAAACACCTCCTTTTCATGATGTAACAGCAAAGAAATCACTACAGAAGTACTATCAAACTTGTTCTGTACCTTCAGAGAACGTGGCACCTATATGCCAAATTTGGTAATGAACCTAGGTCTCTTCAAATGGCAAAAAGCAGTGGAGATAATGATTTTCAAATTCAGGAATCTCTTGCATCAAGATCTTCAATTTGTTCTCCCTGATGACAAGCAAAGTGTCTTCACTGAAGTTGGAAGGTCACCCAGAGCATGGTTGATAGTTTAGGTTAAAAATCACCTTGATGAAATCTGCCAAGGCAAAAGTGCAACTTTCATCCTCCATCTTGAAAGCATTAATTTGCAGACAAAACATCAATATTCTGCAAAGTTAGACTTATAACTGAACAAAATTATATCATAATTTATTTTTTTTTTAACCAACATTATTATATCAAACTTTTTTGTGGAGACCCATATTCGAGTATAGGTTCTGTTTTATTTCAAACAGTACTTTGTCTACTGTTTAAAATACAACAGAGTGCCTACTTAAATAAAGGTATCCACTAAAAATGTCTGAAGTAATAAAAAGTCTGTGTGATTTTATTGAAACAGATTTTTCTAGGTTAAATTTGTATTCTTCTCTTTTGGCATTGTATATGAACAAAATATGCTTTTCGTAATATGCAATCCATTTGATGACTTTTTTTTTTTTTTTATAATATCAAAAATTTTATAAAAGTCTTAATGAAAAAAATTGTTTGAACTGAAGATTAACAACTTTTCTTTGATAGAATAAAAAGGACTTAAATGTAAAATTAAAAATGTTGGACAGATATGACAGTACTCACCTCTGGTGTCCCATTGAATGAATATGCATAGAGAATAGGCTGGATCATGATTAAAGACTGGGTAAGGTCTTCACGGTTTAGCATATGTCTGTAATAAGTGGTCTCATCTGGACTGTTATTGAATACTTGTAAAAACTGCGATCTCCGAAGATGGAACATAAATTGTGGGTACAAAGAAAAATTTGGTGAGAAGCGGAATGAATTAGGGTCCTCCTTGTGATAGTCACCAAATTTCTGACACTGAGGGGATAAAGAAAAGGAAAAAAAAAAAAGAACAAAAAAAAACTTAGTTGTTGCTATTTTGGTTGCGTGTATGTGTAGGTTTAGATATATTTTTAATTTTCTAAGAGCCGAACTCATGAAGCTCATCAGATACTTGAGATTATGAATTATTTTATGCTTGCCTGTATCTACTCAGCCTTTCTTTTATCCCTTCTAATCTTCATGTTATAAAAACAAGGATTAGTTTAAAAATAAAAAAAAAAAAAAAATTTTTTTTAAAACTTTCTTTACATCTAAAATCAAAGAAATTTAATGAATTGTGAATTTTTTTTTTTACGCATTTCTACTTCTACCCACCTTTCAATGTTTCACACCTTACCTTTCTGATATCAAACTAGTAAACCTATTTATGCCTTTCTTTTTTCTCCACATCTGACTTTCTTTTTATGGTAAATATATAAGAATTTTTTTGGAAAAAAAATAAAATAGTTTTTTATTTTGTTGTTTCACTGATTATCTGACAATTTTATTTCACAAGAACAAAATCTAGATTAGCAAGACAAAAAGTGATTTATGTTAAGTTGCTGAATGTTTGGGTTTTATTTAACAATTTCAATAGTTTCAGATAATAATTTAGTAAGAACAGTGAATGAGATGGAATAGCCTAACCATATGCTAAACATAGGAAGATCATAGCACTTTCAATGCATCATCTGAGTAAATTTTAATATCTACTCTTTTTCTCTCTCTCACACTCACACACACTTTAGCCACCATTTTTTTTTATTATTTCAAGCATTATTTTTAGTGGACACTTGTATTTGGATAGAGGCTCTGTTTTATTTTAAACAGTATTTATTTCATCTGCATACCTGAAGAAAAAAAAGAAAAAAAAAAAAAAAAAAAAACATGGCCTCAGGCTGGATTCAAACCTGCATTCCCCTTACTGCAGCCAAGTGTTAAAAGCACACCAAATCAAATTCTGCTGGAGGTCACATTATCTTTAAGTTTTTGAGTACACAGGTAGACAAAATAGTTTAAAATAAGACAGAGCATTTACTCAAATGCAGGTATCCACTAAAAATAATGTTTCAAGTAATAAATGTGTGTGTGTGTGTGTGTGTGTGTGTGTGTGTGTGTCTCTAATTTTATTAAAACCATGTTTTCCATGTTAAATTTGTATTCTTCTATTTTAGCATTGTATATGAAATAAATAGAATAAGGGAGGATTTTTAAAATATTATCAATCATGTGGTTGCAAATTCTAAGGTTGCTTAAATAAAAAAAAATAAAAAAACTTATTCCAGATTTTATATTGTTGTGATGTAAGAATTTTAAATTTGTTTTATTTTGAATTCAGAGAATATCAAGAAAAGTGTTACTCATTTCTTTTTATATGTGAATTCAATTGTAGGTTTGATTTTTAGTTTATTTATGAGATCTAGTAATTTAGTATTGTGTGGATATATTAGTAGAGCATTATCTATATAGTGAAAGTATTCAGCATTTTTGGGTAAGATGTTTTGAAATGGCCAAATTCTAAGAGATCTAAAAAGGAGCCATGCTAAAACATAGCTAATAGGCGGGCTAATTTTTTGTTTGTAAAACTATTATTGAACATAAAAAAAATCGTTTGTACAAAGTTGACAAATTTTTACAACCTGATTAGTAGGAAGAGATTTTTTATTTTGGAAAATTTAAATTTTTGTAAACTGGTATGTTAGTATACAAGGATTTGATATTTTTCAATTTGTTATTCAGATTTTTCAGGTCTTAAGGGCTGATTGTTCGTAAAAGAGGTACTAAAATTTTTGCTAGTTACTAATTTGTGAGGAGTGTTGTCTATTCTAGAAATAACAGGCCACATTGGAATGAGGCATTTCTGCATTATTGGTAAGCCATAGATTCTAGGCAACATACACAGAATTCCCCCTTTTTTTCTGGTTTTCTTACCATCTTTCTTCCCCATCCCTATTCCCCCACCCCAGTTTTTTCCTTCTTGATATTATTATGCAAGTTTCTTGGTCAGAGGAGCTAAGACTACTGTACTGATAGTAAGTAGAGAAGCATAACAGTTGTATATAAAAACAAGTAGAACAATAACACACACACCTACATTATATATATATATATATATATATATATATATATATATATATAAGAAATATAGTCTTAAGGTGTGCTATATTTATGGGATAAAGTACTCAATATCAGAGATAGAGCATGTGTATATATAAAAGTGAACATAAAGTCAACACTTAGACTGCGACAGTCTGCTTCATGCTATATGCAATCGTGGCCTGACGATTGCATATAGCATGAAACAGACTGTCACCTCTAAGTGTTGACTTCTATGTTCACTTTATAATATATATATATATATATATATATATATATAAAAAAACTTAATTTTAGAGAAGGTATTTTTTTAAGACTTACACATTGGGAAGAGAAACTAGATTGAGAATATTTTTGAATTTTCAACATAAATTTTTTTCTTTTTTCATGAAACAAGTTCTAATACACAAACATTACTACTTATCATGTATTTTACTGATTGATACAAACTATAAAAGTAATTGAGAACAAAGAAAAGAAAAAGGCTCAGGTAAAAATGGCCTCTGTCTATCCAACTGAGAAGGATTAAATGCCATGTGGACATAAATCTGTCAAATATTTACTTCTTCCTTGATAATTAAAATAATCAAGCTGTTTTCAAATGAAATCTTCCCCATACATAAAGTACTTTCATGTCTCATGTTTTCCTACTATTAGATGGGACTGCATTCAATCAGAGACTGAACAACAAAGTTTCACTATCATTGTTGTCAATAAAAAAACAATATCAATACTGAATTTGTTTCTGAATGTATAAAAAGGTACTAACCAATCTGATCAACATGCGATCCAGCCATCGAAGCACGTCTGGTCCATCATCAGTCTCAGCTCTAAAGATGGCGACTCTGGCCATCAGAACAGCAGCAGCTTCTTGGTCAAATCCAGCCGAGATGTGTTGAATATTGGTTGATGCATCAGCCCAGCTTTAAATGCAAAAAGTAATTATCCATTTTAGATAAAAGCAAAAAATATCTTGCTAAAATTATTTTAAAACGAATACATACAAATAGGAGGAAGGAAAAACACTCACTTGCGAGCAACTGTAGTCACTCTGACTCTTCTTTGTCCAGATGAATGCTGATACTGAGTAATGTATTGTATAAAGCCACGCCCCCCTTGAGGAATGGGTGCATTATGCTGGAAAAGGGAGAAAAACAAAACCAATCATTTAAGTTTTAAAATAAGACATTAAGAGAGCTTCAATTTATTTGCATTTTGCCCCCAAATGTTTTGAAATTATCAAGTGATAAAGTGTCTTTGTTGAGAGGAGAAAAGTTTAAAACATTGTAAATGTAGAACTTAGGATAATATAAACATATTTACAATTAACTGAAAATTAAAAACAAAATAGAAACTATTTACACTATTCACAACTGGACTAATGTCCTCATCTTTGTTTTTTTTGTAACAATGTTTTGGCTGTTGTACCCTCCAGCTTTCATCAGGTGTATGTTGATCTGGGTAACCTACAGAGAATTTCAACTGAATCCTTTATTTAATAGACTGGTGTAGACTGTTCTCATTCAATAATCTAGGGATATCATGTCTAGTTCTAATTTTTAGTACTGATCAGTTATTGCTTAATGTTTCCACAGAGTCCAAGTACACACTGCCTGACCCAAGGAATGAACTTACAATTACTAGGTCACCAAATTCACAAACCAGCACTTTAATCTACTAGGTTATTGACCCATAAGACTGTGGGTTACACAGATTGACATACACCTGATGAGAGAGCACAACAGCTAAAATGTGATACCAACAACAAAGATGAGGACAACAGTTTGTAAACAATAACTTCACATCACAGAAATCAGACAGAAAATAGAAATTGTTTGTAGGTGCAGGAGTCCTTGATACATAAAACTAATATAAACCAGAGAAATGTCATCAAGACAATTCTACTTATAACGAATATTAATCAAAATATTTGCCTTTGTGTTATCCATGATATACACACACACACACCAAAATGAACTTCCTCTAACCTTCATATAATAATGAAATTGGATTGTAATTAGCTGCTTTTTGTTTATGAATTATTGAACTTATAAAATATTTCACCTCTTAAAGCAATTGTAAAACCAGCATATTCTTGAATGAAACAAATGATACAGACAAGAAAACCAAGTGATTGGTAATTTAGTTTAAATGCATTTTTAAAATCATTGTATGTGGCTTTCTTCAGAATTATTTGTTTGTTGTTGTTTTTTTTTTTTTATTTTTTGTTTACTTTTCAGTAGCAAAAAGGAAATTTGGTCTGAAGAAAACCATCACATGCAATGATTAAAACACCTTGTTCAATAAAATTCAATTTTTGTGAAAATAGGCAGTGCTAAATAGACCAGAGGGTTATACATTCCAGACAACTTTGAAAAGATCCGTATGCTTCTAAAAAAAAAAAAAAAAAAAAAAAAAATATCAAGCGGTCACCCCCAATAAAATCTCACCATCTCTAGACAGATACATTAGGTGAGAAGTTAAGAGCAATTCAGGACTAACATCAAATCAGATAAAAGCGAATACAGATGCCGAATGAAGCTCTCGAACAATTCGACGGCATTTAAATAAGAAAGGGTTTAAGAACTTGAAATGGTTGCAGAGGCCTCGCCGTCTTCTTCGTCATAAAAACTCCCATTTACAATTTGCTTCCAATTATCAAACTTGGGATGTGGATAAATGGAAGAAAGTGTTTTCAGACAAGAAAAATTCAATCTTGATGGCCCAGACGGTTTTCAGCATTACTGGCATGCAAAAGATGTCCTAAAAGAAATTTTCTCAACACAACACAGTGGAGGTGAATCAATTATGGTCTGGGGTTCATTTTCATACAATGGAACTCTTCAGTTACATGAAGTAAAAGGTCGTCAAACAGCTGCTAGTTACATTGACATGTTAAGAAAGGCATCGCTTATTACTGAAGGCCCTCATCTATGTGGAGAAAACTGGATTTTCCAGCAGGACAATGCTGCAATCCACAACGCTCTCTGGATCGAAACCCAATCGAGAATGTTTGGCGATGGATGGCAAAGGATTGATCGCAATTTAAAACTGTGGATGCTCTACATACTGCAGTTTATGCATCCTGGGCGAGCATCCCAAGCACCCTCATGCAGAAGTTAATAATGAGTATGCCAAAGTGAATTTTTAAAGTAATTTGCAAAAATGGAAGGTATACTGAGAATTGTCATTGTGACTTATTTGTTCTGTATTTGCTATTTTCATTTATATGGTCTTATCTTTATGACCAACCAAAATAATCATTTTTTTCAAGGATTGTTTAAATTAATCAATTAAAAGCTTAAAATTTTCACTTGTTTGTTGATAAACTACATTTTCTAATTAAATGTAAATGTTTTGCAAATATATATCTTGATTAAAGTAACAGTATTTTATTTTTTTTTAGCCCTTTTGTATCTGGTCCTAAGATTTAGACCAGAGGTGTGTGTGTGTATGTATATATATATATATATATATAAAGAGAGAATTTTCTTTAGTCTGGATTAAGGAAATACATTGGTATAAGAAATCCAAAATTTACCTGATTGACAACTTCAAAGAAAATACCAAGGGTTGTGTTTGGATAAAGTCCACACAGTTTCCACTGACATGTGCCTCCCATTCCCAGTTCTGTGTCTGACACTGAGGGACTTTTTGTTCCCAGTGACACACATGACCCAATGGCACCTGATACTTTTAATTCACGGGAAGTCTGCAAAATGTAAATTATTAAAAAGAAAGAAGAAATAGAATGAGATATTGTAATAATAGAGAAAAGAAAAAAAAAGGTAATATTACAAGCAAAGATAAATCTCAAAGTTACTTTCTCATATCAGCAACAGCAAATTAAAGTCCCCCCACAATGAAAGTATCATCAGTAGTTGGAAAGAAAATAATTTAAGACTGATAATGAATTTGCTTAAACCTGACGAAATTTTAAAGCTTAAGATAAAAAAGTTCAATAAAATGATTATAAAACTAATTTCATTACTGCCAAAAATTCACTGTCGTGCCAGAAATTTCTTTTCATCAGAATCCATCTTGTACATTTACAAATCTAGCATTCGTCCATGTATTGAATACTGTTGCCATATCTGGTCTGGTGCTCCTGCAGTACATTGAGATTTTTGACAAAATCCATAGAAGGATCTGTAATGTAATCAATCCTGACCAGGCATCTTAACTTCAGTCACTTTCTCACCAACGTGATGTGGGTTCCCTCTGTCTTTTCTACAGATATTTTCATGGAAACTGCTCTGACTTTTTTCACTGATGCCTAGACTGCATGAATTTAAGCATGCTACTAGATTGGTATCTAGGTCCCACCACTTTTACTGTTGAAATAGTTAAATGCAACTGCCACTCCTACTCCAACAGCCTTTTCTCACCTGTGGAAATCCCTTCTGTTTACTTGCTTTCCTGATAACTACAAACTTAAAAATTTAAATGCAACAGTAATTACCATCTTTTGTCCTTTCCTCAATCCTCCCTATTCTAAGTCTTTCTTTCACTCCTGGTAACCCCCTCCATACTAGTGGCATTCCCATTTTACTGGGAGTGAAATGATAGATAAATAAATGAAAAATCAAATCTCAAGCTGAAGAATCTCTCTATATAAAATTCTGTTACTTCCATTATTCTGTCATACCCTTTAAAATAGTCATACATTCACTGATCAAAAGCAAATTTTGGGGAGAAGTGCAGACAGGTAAGTGGGTACAAAGTACAGTTGGTTTTACTAGGGTGTAATACTATGAAATAGGGTTTTTGGCAAAGTATTTTTCTAAACAAATCAGCTTAGTCAAATTTCATTGACTGGTTTTCATGAAATTAAATGAAACAGAGTTTGTAAATCTCAACAAAAATGTTAGCGATAACTTCAACAATACTAAATACTTTGAGGATTGCAATGTGTTGGCATGTTAAATATTTAGTTATAAAAGTGACATTAAAAATTAAACTTTTTTTCCATATTTACTCTTTAATAAAGAGTAAAGTTTTTAGATTGATTTTAATGAAACAAAATTAATGGAGTAGATAATGGCAAAATGAATATGAAGATTAGACAATGATCAAATGCTGTTCAGATCAGTATATAGCACTGACATAATCAGTCTGATTTACATAACCAAATCAATAAATTTATAGTTTGACACAAATACTATAGAAATAATTGAAAAACATCTTTTGCCACACAAAACTTTCAACAAAAAAAGTGACAAGATAATCCATTTGAATTGAGAAAAAATCAGATTTGTCAGATTTTCAAGCAGTGACAAAATGTAACATTAAGTTAAAAATGGAATAAAAAGAGAAATAATAATTCTTACTTTGACTTCAAGTGTGGCTCCAAAACCCATTTTGAATTCTCCTTTTGAATCCTTAGAGAAAACTCTCTGGAAGGTTTGCTTAAACAATGAAGTGTTAAACGAATCTCCCATCACCATATGACCTCTGCAAAAAATTTAAAAGTCATTTAAATCAATATTAAAAGACTCAATTTATACACACAAAGAAAACAATACCCACAAAACTTATTACAAAGTATAATCAAATAGTTATGTATTTAGAAAAAATACCAAAGCAACATCAATTCATAGGTTATTCAAATTTATAATTTGAATTCTTTACTTTCAAAATAGCCCATTTGAATATTCAAAGCATGAATACAAAAAATTTTAAAGTAATAACAGAACAATAAGTTAGCAAACCATTATTTTGATGTGAATAGCTGTGATAAATATAAACATTTCTTAAGTGCATTTAACAGTGATAAAGTGACTTACCCTGTGAAATTAGGACAGAATTTCATTTCATGTAAACCAGTTTGATCCAAAGCACAAGAGTAAATATCCACTACATGTCCATTGTTGGCTGCTCTGTTAGCCAATGCTTCATAATGCTGGAAATAGAAGAGAAAAAAGGACAATTAAAATATTTTCAATGGTATTAAATTTCTTGTTAATTCTTTGTAATCCTAACAGACTTTAAAAATAAAACAGTTTGTATAAAAGTACCCACAAACTAGTGTATAAAAATGGTTCAGTCCCTTAATTTCCCTCCAACTAAATTATACTCATTGGCTCCTTAGTCATGGCAATATTTGTTTTCAGCATACCAATTTCTTAAACAATTTTGCATCAAATTTTATCATTTTATTTAATTTCAAAATAATTAACTTTTAAGTTGTTTCATAATAAAAATTTCAGCAATTTTTCAGTTCACAGACACAGCCATTAGCATATATTTTTAAGCCAAGCAGAAAAAAATATACTGAAGTATACAGACTATAAAGTAATCCTCACTGAGGTACAAGATATTTTGAACTGTAGAATTATAGTTTTATTTATGCTCGTAAAGCCCAAAGACTACTACAGAAACCAATCCAATACAAATCTACACATAAAGTAACCCACCTATTCAAAGTATAAAATGATATATAAAATTAATTCAAAATGAACCAGTAGTAATTAAATTTACTTTACTAATCAGTATTCTTATTTTTGGGGGTGTTTGTTTAAGCTAAACAATTCTCCAAACTTTAAGTAAATGTTGTATCTTGTGAATAGTTTCAAAAACTATTACATGCTTGTAAACTGACTGAATATAAATAAAAAAAAAAGGATGAAGATTATAACAAAAATATGATTTATGATGAAAATAACTAATCTCAAATAAAACTAAGTTTAATTAAAAACTTATTCCTTAATCTGTTGAGTAAATATTTATTGTATATTAAATATCCAAAATATTTAAAGCATTTTTTTTTTTTTAAATGAAAACTGAACAAGCAAATTTTCTTTCAAAATAACCTGCATGCCAAATAGATATTGAAGTGTTAAGCAAAAATAAATCTTAATATTAAAAAGGAAGGAATAAAAAAAAAAAAGAAAAAGTTCTTTCATTTATATGAGCCTGTTTGTCTACTTAGTCATGTATAGCATGAATTTACCTTCATAGCTTTCTTCATATATTTGACTGTATCTTTTTCAATGTCATGATGTGATCGGATTGGGTTCTTCAGCTCATCTCCAACAACCATGCCAGGGCCCTGGGTGCAGGGACCTCCAATGAACAGCATGATCCGAGCACCTGTATTTGGATACGTACACTGGATAGAAAAAAAAATAAAACAAAATACAGTTATAAACCATATTTACAGAAAAACAAATATATATGAAAGGGGATATTAAGAATTTTTTTTTTTTACCTAATCAAGCCCTTAATATATAATAATGACTGGTCAAGCCCCAAACTTCAGCACCCCTTCATATTGCAGATACTAGTAATGTTACCAACCACGTCACAAAAAAATATGAAAGAAAGATACTTATTTTTTTCTTTCAAATATATATGAGTCAGTTCAGCAGCAAGTTCTGAAACTAATGAAAAACATTTAGATCAATGTTTTTAGATCACTCTAGAAAAATAAAGACTGTAAATTACTAGAAGTTCAATTAACACTGATTTTTGCTTTTTTTTTCTTTCTCTCTAACTTCTTCATAGAAATAAAACCCATTCTTTATAAAACATTTTCAGATACATACTGCTTTTGTCAGTTTTTTCAGGACAATATTATGTACTGTATATATTAGAGTATAGTGTAAGTTTTTATTATCAGTTTTTATATAAAAAAAATTTTTTAAAGAAATAATAGATAATTTGTTTGAATAGGTTAAAAATCATATATTTTTGGTGTCTGTTTGCACTATACACAGGTAAATTTTTTTTTGGAGAGTTAAAATTTGTGTAAAAGAAAATTCCGGGGTTGCACTATACATGAAGTTGGTCTATATACAGTGTATATAATAAATAAATTTAAAAAAAAAAAAAAGCTATCTGTCCCACCAAAAGTAATATTTGGTTATATTTTGGGAATCAACACTTTGTGTATGTATGCATGCACAGACAAACAAAAAACACTCTGAAAGTATACCGACTACTGTCACTACAACTGAAATGCATTACCCATTGCCTAACTATGCTCACAGCCATTGTTTGGTCTCTATAAACAAGCATCATAAATGTCAGAAAGCATTGATGAAGGACAATGGGTGAATTTTTTTTTTTTTTCCACACAGTAGAATTTAATGTTTACAACATACTTTCAGGTCAGGTAGCATTACCCTAGACAACTGTTCAATTATCTGTGACAAGACAAAAAGGATTATTGGCAGGAAGGTTTAACCTGTCATACCACCAACATTCCATCTCTGTTGTTATAGGCCAACAAAGTAAGATGCATTACTTTCAGAGCAACCTTCATATAAAGAAGGTCATTGACAGTCATCTTTAGGATTACCATATATGATGAAATTGGTCCTTAAAATTCAATCATTCTAATTCAAGCTTAGGCTTTTATTTACCTAAAATATCAGTTTCTAAAATAAGTTAGCATCACTTCTACAAGACTTATGACACATTAAGAGATGTTCTTTATTCCTTTCTTAAAAAGTAGATATAAACATTGGTATATTAAATTATGACTACTGTAGTAAAATGAATACTCACTGGATGTCTCATGCTTATTGCTTTGTGCTAGACGAAGGTAAGGTTAGTAAACTATTTTAGCATATACATAGTTTCAAACTGTCTCACCTCTAATAAACCAACTGCTATAGACAGAGCAACTCCTGTTGAACGGAATGGCCGTCGACCTTGTGAAACTAGCCAAGGGTCACGTTGTAACTCTCCCAAAAGATCAGTCAAACTCATATCACATTTGTGGACAGGTTGTAAAAATCTACAAAACAATTTTTCCTTTAAATAAACATTTATAGGGATGAAAATAAATGAACATTTTCTTTCCTAATTCTAATTTTCTTAAAATAAAAATCTAACAGCATTAAACAGGTACTACAATATTTTGCAAAAAAAAAAAAAAAAAACAACACTTTCTAAAGTCACTTATTTTTATATAAAACAGTTTATTCTAAATATTTGAGTAAAGGTAATGCAGAACATGAATATACATTTGGTGTAGCACTTATCAGCACATAAGTTTCTTTAATATGAGTATCCACTAAAAACAATCTTTACAGTGATAAAAATCATAACCAGTGAATAAACTAGGAAGCTTGATTCTTCATTTTCCTAATATAGTATCTCTAAGCTCCCAGAATAGGTTATTCAATTTTTGCATATATTTCTCACAAAGATGGCACTATCATTTGATATATACAATTACCTTAAGTGAGGACATGAAATACGTTAGCCTAAATCAGGGTTTCCCAATCTGGGTGATATTGCCCAATGGTGGGGAACTTCAACTGTTGGGTGAGAGATTGGAAATTTTCGTGGGCAATATGGGACTGAGTATTAAAAAGGTATTTCAACATATGCTACAAAAAAAAATTATATATTCAAAGGAGATATGCAAAGAACCTGCATGAGAAAAAAAAAAAAAAAGAAGCTAAATAGGAATAACTGGGTCAGATTCTTAGATAAGATAAATATTCTCGCAAATAATATTTTGGTATTTTCCATAGTTTTGTGAAAAGTCATCAACATTCAAATTTCTCAAATGACTGCAGCATGTCCCTGGGGTAATGAGTCGGGCAAATATTTATACCTGAGCACATCCAGATATGTAGTTATACATGTTCATGTTATACTGTTGGCAGGAAATGAGTGAAACGAATATGGTGCAGTGGATGAACATCTAGTTTTGGGTGAAGACTTATAAAAGTACTGGCAAAGCATTAACTCTATTAAAAATGGCTATGGTGAATACAATAAAAAGAGTATTTTTGAGTGGTACAGACAGTTCAAGGAAGGGAACAAATGAGTGAATACACACACACACACAAAAAAAAATGATGCAAGAAGTAGGCAGCCAAAAAAGACTAAAGAACAGATGAAAATGTGGGTAGAGTGTGAACCTTGGTATGATCAGATTGAAGATTAAGTGACTCCGAGAAGAACTAAATATGAATAGGGAAACAGCGCAGCAAATTCTCACAGAGGATTTGGGAATGAGCGAAATTTCCCCAAGGATGGTGCCTCAAATCTAGACAGAGAAGCAGAAATGTCATCTTCACATTTCATCTGATTTTTTGAATAATGTTTGATAGGATCATTACCAGTGATGAAACATGGTGTTTCAATACAACCCCAAAACAAAACATACTTCATAAAAGATGGTACCATCACTAGACATATACATTTACCTTAAGTGATGACATGAAGGAGATTAGCCTGTGGAAAATGAAGAATTCACCTTAGGAGGAAAAAAAAAACAAAAAATATGTCTTCCTTGCAGTCCAAGTATTTGTGTGTTTCTTTAATCATAAGGGGATAATCCTTTTGTAAGAATGTGTAAACTATCAATCAACATATTCAAGTGCTGAAAGGACTTAAGAGAATCTGTTCAGAGGAAAAAAAACTGAACTGGCCTGACAAGTGGATTCTACATGATGACAATGCTCCTACTCATGAAGTGTTAAATTTGCAAGTTCCTGGTTAAGAAATCCATTACAAAAAAAGATATCTATCTTATTCACCAAATTAGGTTTCCTGGGATTTTTGGTTCTTTCCAAAATCAAAACAAAGATTTTCTGATATCCAGTAACACTTGATTATAATACTGAAAGGTATTCCAGAAAATGCATTCCAAAAATATTTTCCAACATTTGCACAATTGTCACAAAGTGCATAGTTTCACAATGGAAGTATTTGAAATTGACACCAGCCAACATAACCAAGTAAGCAAACCTTGCCTTCCCAGGAATGAAATTGTCACAGTATGCAAGCAGTAATAACATCTTATAGTTTATGATTAAACGTCATACCAATCTAAATCTTCCAAGTATAAAAATAGGATGGTAATGCTACTTAAGTTCCAAAGTAGAATTAGGATGCTAAGGAGAAAAAAAAAAAAAAAAAAAAACTATAAATCTTATATATACATGAAGACTCACCTAACATCTACTGCACCTGCCCAACAAATACAGTTTCTTGAAATATTTTCTGCTTACCTGTTAGCAGGCAACTGGTAATGTTGTTGGGGGCCTTGGGGACTTTGTGATTGCCGATTCTGCTGACCAATGGCTCTCCCAATACCCAACATTTCCTATATAACAAAAAAAAAAAAAAAAAAAAAAAATTAGCAGACGGAAAACTACATTCACAATATAGAAATATTTATATAGATAAAAAAAAAAAAAAAAACATTAAACCAAGCTACTACAGAAAAGATCCTACTACAATTTAGATCAATCTAGAAGTTAATACAAAATTATTTAGTTTTGAGATTGTAAAATTTCTTGCAAAAATTTATCTTTCAGATATCTTTTTCAAAAATTTGTAAAAATGAGAAGTAACCAAAACGATTTCTGCAAGTATCAGAATAGTGAATAAAAGCAACTCCTTGACAATTTTATGCCATTTGCTCCCTGCTCTAATTATAAAATAGATTTCTTTATCATACATTCATTATTCAAGTTTAGAATCAAAGTCTATTTCTTTTTAATAATATAAATATTTTGTTTTATAAGGTTTGCATGTTAGGAGACAAAACAAATAAAAATTGTGTGGTTTTAAATATTAGATGAGGGAAAAATTACAGGAGAAATAAATGGGGTTTGTGAGCTGACTGAAGACTTCTGGTTTTAATAATAACATTAGTGCAAAAAAACAAAAAAAAAAAACAAAAAAAAAAAAAAAAAAAAACAAACAAACAAACAAACAAACAAACAAACAAACAAACAGCAGTGGAAGTTAGATGCTGCCATAAATGATTAGTTTAATACCAACCTGTATCTGCTTTGTAGAGAGATCTTTTGTTCCACGGAACACATAACTTTTGGAGCAGCCTTCACATCCCAGTTCATGTACTTGGACCATTTTGCCAAAAGTGAGTAAGCCAATGAGGGCATTTGGAGGAAGCAGACTGAGGGACATCTGTAAGGATTCCTGGAGAGAAAGAGAGCAAGAGAAAAAAAAAAAAAAAATGAGAATTTACAATTTCTTGAATTTTTATAATTCTTAAATCACTTTAAAAACTTTTCTCTTAAGAACATGGTCATTTTATGATATAGCATGAATATTGTGTAATATTGTTACTTCCAAGTCAGTCTTAACACAATATCTGTTTGCAAGTTTACTCAGGAATTCATAAAGGAATTTAAATAAACACACATAGTATAATACAGAGTGTGTCAGAAATACCTCCCACATAATGGTAAGATATTAGTCAAATGAAGACACTATTGCTACTGATGTCTTACCATTATGTGGGAGGTATTTCTGCCACACCCTGTATTAACCTTTTTGAAATGTGAGTTTAAAATATTAATAGACTTAAGTTTTCCATTTTCATATGTCAAATGCAAATGTAGTAGATAGTATAGTGTCTATTCAAAAGGTGAATTAGAGGTTATGTACAAATCTATGCTTGTGTTACTGTACTGTTATATTAGTTGTGTGGGATTTTATATAAGAGAATTTCTTCTATTCATTGCCTTTAAAAAATTTTGCTAAATACAATGTAGATATATAGTGTTTGAAACAAATGCTTTTTTTATATTTTCAAAACTGTTACTTTTGGCTGAATAGTCAGGTAATGTGGATGAAAGGGTTGATAAGTTTTCTTATTTAATTTTATTTATTACATACTCAACTTTATTGTAGTGATACTAGCAAATTAGTATGCATAATTTGCATAAGCAAAAGTGAACACTCATATAAGTGGTCACTGAGAATAACGAAGCAGAGGAATACAAGTTTAGCAACTGACTAGTGCTAAACTTGAACATCACAACAATGGTGTTGCCGATAGGATACCAATTGTCTCTGGAAGATCCAGATTTCATGGATATATGGATTCGTTGTTTCTCTGCCACTGCGAGAACAAAAAAGTTGAAAGACAAGGAAAAGGGAGGCGAAAATGAAATCGTGGATTTATTTTTGGCTACAGCTGGATGCGAAGCGATAATGAAAGTCTCCATCATGGCATATCCCTTAAATTTGGAAGACCTGACTTTCGAAAATATAAGTCAGATTATAAGAAGACATATGAGACCCAAGAAAAGGCTGATAGTGGCAGAAAGAACGAAATTCATGTCGATGAAACAAGAAATTGACGAACCAATTATAAAATATCTACACCGTCTACGAAATGCAAGTAGATATTATGAATTTGAAAAACTTGGACAAGACGAACAGACTATTGAAGAGGACTTGATTCAATTAAGATTAATTGAAGGTATGTGCAATGCATCACACCGATATAAAATAATGGAACAATTACAAATAGGAAATATGTCTTTAAATACATGTATTGACTTTATTCAGCAACAAGAACTAATACAGAAATACAACCATCATAAAAGTCAACCCAGCGAACAAATATTCGCTGATACGTACATGTTAAAGAAGATAAAAAAGTGTTCGTATTGTGGACGTGAGCACGAAATAAAAAAGGAAAAGTGTCCAGCATTTGGAAAAACTTGTAATAATTGCTTAAAAAAGAACCACTTTCAAGCAGTGTGTAAATTAAAAAAGAAAAACGTTGAAAGAATTGAAGAAAATGACACCAATAGGAAAGTTTTTACATTAAAAAATAAGAGTATAAAAAAATTGAACATAAGAAAAAAGACATTATAGTAAAGGTCAAAATTAATAACTGCAATTTAGATATGAAATGGATAATGGGAGTGAAGTAACACTCATACCAAAAAATTTTTGGGAACGCATTGGTAAGCCACCTTTACGAAAAAGCAGTTTACAACTCCACCAATTTGATGGGTCGGTTATAAAAACATTAGGATACTTTGAAGGTTCATTAGAGTTAAAAGACAAATTTGAAGTAGTCGTTACAAGCTTCGAAAAGAACCACGGACTTATTGGAAACGACGTGCTTAACATAAATTCTACCAAGTTAATTAATGAAATAAAAATGGAAAAAACTGGAAAGTTAAAAAACTATGAAGCAAGTTTAAAAGTAAAAGAAAATGTTCCCCCCCTCTTATTATGAGGCACGAAAATTACCAGGACATTTATTGCCATTAGTAGTGACAAAACTACATAAATTAGTAGAACAAGATCTTCTTGAACATGTTCCGCCTGGAGGTAGCAAGTGGGCATCACCGATTGTAGTGTTGAGGAAAACAGATGGTGATTTACGTATTTGTGGAGATTACAAAATAGGAGTAAATCACAAGATATGCTTGGATTCATATCCCATACCCAATGTTGAACTTGCATTACATGCACTGGCAGGAATGACCGTTTTTTCAAAAATAGATTTAAAAACGGCATACCACCAAATACCAATAGACAAGAACTTCAAAGAAGTAACCACAATAAATATGCCAATAGGGTTACTAAAATGGAAAAGGATGCCATATGGAATAAAAACCACAAGCGCCATTTTCAAAGGGCCATTGAACAGGTTTTAGGAAATGTACAAAATATGATTTGTTATCAAGACGACATATGCATAGGAGCTACTAATGAAAAGGAATTAAAAGAGAAAACTGACTTAATCTTGAATAGATTAAGAAATGCTGGAATGACGATAAATGAAAAAAAATGCGTAAGCAATTCTAACAAAATATCTTTTTCAGGTTATTCCATTTCAAAAGAAGGTATATCACCAGACCAAGCGTTGATAGAAAAAATACTAAAAGTAGCTACACCTACAAATAAAAAAGAAATGTAGTCTTTTTTAGGAATGGTAAATTTTTATAGGCGATACTTACCAAAATACATGGACTTGACGGAACCGTTTGCAAATTTAAGAAAAAAGAATGTGGAATTTATGTGCTCAGACGAACAGCAAAAAGCTTTTGAAAAATTAAAAGAAATTATGTTAAAGAAACCTTTAGTGAAAATGTTTGATCCAAAAAAGGACATAACACTACAGATGCAAGTGAACATTCATAACATATTTATCGAGAAGATTAATGAACACTGAATTCAGTTACTCGAACATAGAGAAAGAAGCATTGGCTATCGTGTGGACAACTACTAGAGCCTGACAATTTTTAATTGGAAAAAAATTTCTGTTAAGAAGTGATCATAGACCATTAGAGTTTATATTTAACCCAAGGAAAGAATTACCCAAAGTTACGACATCAAGGATTCTATGATGGGCAATAAGATTGATGGCATTTGACTTTGATATAGAGTATGTCAAAGGAAATTCAATTCCACATGTGGATGCACTATCAAGATTGAGGTTCTACAAGCAGTCAAAAGATAAAACAGAGGAAGAATTTGAAGATTCATTCCTACATTTAATAGAGACTGATGTTTTGTCTTTAGATAGAATGACTGTGGAAATGAGTTGAGTTATTTGTAATGGGGACCTGGTAGTTCCCCCAGAAACACAAAGAAAACTGATAATAGAAAGTGTACATGATGATATACACTGTGGAGTAGCGGCCACACAAAAAAGGATAAAATTAGAAGCTTGGTGGCCGGGATATTCAAGAGATGTCGAGAAATATGTAAAAAGGTGCAAAAAATGTAAAGAATTAAGAAACTTTACACAAACCAAATTACATTCGTGGCCCAAAGAAGTGGAGCCATGGAGTCGTGTGCATACATTAATTGAGTGGGACTCTTATTAATACTAGTAGACTCCTTTTCAGGTTGGCCTGAAATAATCCGGGTTACAAACAAGAAAAGTTCTACAGTAAAGCATATTCTAAGAGTCATATTTTCCAGAAATGGCGTACAAAAAAAAAACCTTGGTATCTGATAATGCACCAGAATTTTGTGATGAAGAACTTTATGGTTAGAAAAAATAGGGTGTAAACCATATAAGACACCTCCATATCACCCTCAATCGAACGGATTAGCAGAAAGAATGGTGCAGACTGTAAAAAAGGAACTAAAAGCATGCTCTCAGCAAAAAGAAAAAGTAGAAGTTTTTCTACCGAGGCTGCTTTTAAGCTATCGTATGATACCACATGTGGGAAGATTAGAAAGCCCATCAGCTTTAATTGGAAGACAGATTAGAGCTCCGCTAACGATGTCATATTCTACAAATGAAAAAATGTGGTACAAAAAGAACAAAGATGCAGATCCGGAAAGTGCAGAATTTATCATGCAAAAAGGCCACAATACAGCTATAATAAATAGAGAAAACGGCAATAGTGTATTAGCCCATGCAGACCAAATATGGACCCAGGGTGAAGAGGAAGAGCAAAACGATGAAGAAATGTCTTCAATTCTGTATGATAACGAGTTGGTAGAACAACCATTATAGAAGGAAACTTCAGAATACAAAATAATGCAGTATCAAGAGGGCCAGAATGAGTCTGAAAGTTCAAACGAAGACCAGATTATGCAAGAAAACACATATGACTACAGCCTAGCACGGGACAGATCTAGGTCTCCCAGGGAAAGAAATACGGGAGAGAGAGAAGTAGAGCAAAGTGATGAAAATAACATGAGAAGGAGTAAAAGATCTATGAGAGGAATAAAACCCTTATGTTTCAGGGAGATGTAGTGATACTAGCAAATTAGTATGCATAATTTGCATAAGCACAAGTGAACACTCATATAAGTGGTCACTGAGAATAACGAAGCAGAGGAATACAAGCCTTATCAGACTTATCACCATGTTATTATTCTGTTTTAATAGTACTTGCAATTTGGCTCCATGTTGTCATCATCATCATCATCATCCCTTCCTGCCTAGGTTTACTTGTCGCAGTTGTATTTGTGATGCAATTTTTGATTGGTTTATTTGTCCACACATGGTTACATTTGTTTTGTTTGCCATATTACTGGCTGGAGTGTATTGTCGATTACCTCATAATTGGTGAACACCTCTTTTAATCTGGAGAGAATTGCGAACAGGCATTTGAATTTCATTCCTAAGAGTCTACTTCAACTCTATACTTCTAACATCTCAGCCTAAACTATGAAATTTTATTTACTATTTATTCATTTATTGGGAATTTTGTTAACCATCTGGAACTATATTTATTAGAAAGATCAGCAGATATTGAAAAGAATTATTCCAAGACTGATTTGGATATTTTAAAAACTTTATTGACCACAAACTGAAGTCTATCATAGACCTTTAGAAATTATTTTTAATTGTCAGAAGAAACTAACAAAAGTTACATTTTGCTGAATATTGTGATAAGCCATCCAACTTGTACCACTTGATTAGAACTGAAATGTTATCTATAGATGAATTGCATGATCTAATACTAAGTAAAATATTTTTCAAATAAAAAACTGAGTAATTGTCCCAATCCAGAAAGACTGCATATTTTTGTTTTTCAATAAAAGCAACAGAAATTAATTGTGTCATATGAAAAATCATATTCAATATAATTGCCCAATTTTTCTTACTGAAAATTGGTTTTGACAAATACTGAGAACTTTTCAGCTAATTTCATATACTGAGAAGTGTTTTGAATTACTTAATATAGTCCAATTTTTCTATATGACAATATTATTGTGGCATGACTTCATCTAATTCTCTTGAGAAAAACAGGTGCAAACTGAAAAAGAATCATTCATGCATTCTGTGAAAATTTGATTAAAATTTATGTTTCCTTACCTTAACAGCTTGAAGATCTTCATCCTCCATACAAGTGTCCAAAACAATTAGGTACATAGGTGGATGACAAGTGGCACGCTGGATAGAAGAAGAAAAAAATATGCAGAATGAAAGAAAAGCTGAAAAATATTGCACCAAGAGTATTTGCCCTAATAATTAAAACTAATATGAAGAAACTGAGATTTGTTTGATTGGGTCAATTCTGACACACCACTACATTCTCAGGACATTCAATGAGGAATTTGTGTTGAATTCAGCAAGTGTTCATTGTAGTAAAAGTTTAAGAAAATGTCATTCTATAGTACAACACTTTCTCATTTTCAATTGGAGTCTTCCGAGATTGATAAGATTATGATCTTTTAAGAGACTAGAAAGTTATTTCAGAAAATTGTTGGCCATGACACATTAGTGGTGCTATGACGATGGCAACAGTGGCTAAATGAACAGTCTTACATCTATAATCCAGATTCTGTAGTACAGATGGTCACCAAAATCAACACATTGTTGTAATGGCATCCACTACATAGATTATAGCAAATGTGGTCCAGGAGTGTTAACACAAACCAGTGGGAATTGTTGACTTTCAGCAGGACTGCAGGCATGCATGCCAGAATTACCATCCAACTTGCCCAATTAGCCCACATACAATTCTTAATGCGTTACATCAACAATTGCAATATTCATCATCCGTACAATATGGATGAGAGTACAAACTTATGTTAATGTCCAACAAGAATATACAATATAATAATAATATAGAATCTGATTACCACTGATACACTCTTATTTTAGAACCTGTTTACATATTGATTTGTACATATGAACATTTTCTGTAATTTAGTTATATTACCCTTGCTTTATCTTGAGGAAACTGAAATATATTTCAGGATGATGCAATTCTATGTTTAGCCAGAGTATTTTATTGACAAACACAAAAACTGGTAATAACTAAACAAAGAATTGCTTCATCTGTTACTTTTTTCTGTGAAATGTCATTAGCCACATGCATATATTCTAAATGTTATAAAAAGGACATTTTCATCAGTTGGCTCTCTAAATTAAAGAAGTGAAGAAAAGAAAAAACAACAATACTTTCTTGTGCTTTTATTTTTTGGATATCACGGTACATTTAAAATATAATTTCAGAGATAAAATGGTTTGGTAAAAAGTAAAGTTCTTATAGATTCCAAATTAAATGAGATAATTTTAGTGTCTTATTAAGTATAAGGAGTTTAGTACAACAAAAAATACCAACAATCTAACAGCTACAAAAGTGTAAAAATATATTAAAAATTATTTTTGGATATCAAGCTTAAAAGAATGATATAAAATTACCATATGTAAATTGCTAACAAGCTGCATGTCATAGATAACAATGTAATGACATGTTTAATTGCTCATATCCATCTAAATTTCTCACCTGCATAAACACAGATTTGTTGTTCAGAAATGCAAAAAACATTCTATTACTGAAAGAAAAATTGACAAAAAACCTAAACCATAAGCATGAAAGGCAAATGATAAAAGACATGAAGCTGGATTTAAGTTGAATATTACTGATTGGGATGTACAGTGTAGAAATCAATTTTTGCTAAGCTTATTTTGGTTCAGCAGTTTAATTGATTAATTTGTTTTTTTTTCTTTTATGGGTCATCAACCCTATTTAGGTTATTCAAAGGGGATTGCAACTTTGCTCTTTAATTAACAATTTTGAGACATTATCCATTACACCATCTGCACATCCAAGCTTACAGCACCTAATATTCCCAAGTAGTCACACATCTAGGTACTGATCAGACTCAATGTTGCTTAACTTCAGTGATCAGATGGGAACTGGTGCTTCAATGTGATGTGGATGTAAGCATAATTAATTACTGTTAATGTTTAAAAGATGTAAAATAAACTGTTCGTGAGTAATATCTCTTCAATGTTCAGTTAATTTTCATCACAAATACTCCTACTGTCATTTTATGGCAGTTAGTGAAGACTACAATTAAATAAACTATCAGTGAGATTTGTATGATAGTTCAAGTATCTGCAATGAAAAACAACTGAAATTAAAATAAATCAATGATTGAGAATGTTTCATGTAATAATAAAATGGTGTAGCATTATGATTGATGAAATTCTTTTTTATGATTATCTATTGTGAAAAAATCCTAATGAAAAGTAAATAGATTAAACTCACAGTGATGATATATTCTACTGTTGAGAATTGAGGGATGATTTCTGCAGGTTGGTGTTGTTCAGAAATTGCTGCATATTGCTGAGGAAACTGTAAAGAAAAAAAAACAATATTAAATAAATGTGGAAAGAAATTTGACAAAAACAAGATTTTAAGTATTGCTTTTGTCTCTAAGGTTAGTCTTGCACTGTCAGAAAACCAAAAACACCACTGTGCTACAAGTCAGTGTTAGTATATTATGATCAAATTATTATAATAAAAATGATATTTTATATATATATATATATATATATATATATATATATAATGAATGTTCATGAAATTTCATAGAAAATATGCCTTCTCAAACATGCATCTTGTACAGAACCACCATTAAGCCTGGCATGCTATGACCATTCAGCCACAAAGAACTTCAAGTTAAGCAAAGCTTGAATTATTGCTTTTAAACATTCAGGCCAGTAAATGTAATTAATACTGTTTAATTAAAGAACAGAGCAATTATTCAAATAAGTGCATATATAAAAAATAATGTATAAACAGAAAATATTAAATATTTGTCCGATTTAATCCATTTCCTATAATTAATGTTTTTTGATCCTATAAAAAGGTATAAAATGATAATGACAACTAAGCCATCATGAACATTCGTAAGGTTTGCAGAAATTTCTATTTTGAAAATATCTTTATTATATTTTGTTTATACAGTTGAAATGTTATAAGTTTATAATTGTTTCGAATTCAACAATATATCACTGAAAGATAGAAACTACTGAAAAGTGCTAAGCATTTAAGAACAAGCCTTTTACAATTCCAAACATTGTTCAGACATTGAACTGCATGTTCCTACCATAACATTTCATCAGATTCATTTTTCAGTCTTCAAAGAATAGAGAAGGTGCAATCATATTCCTTAATAAAAAAAAAAAATGCTAGGGTGGGGCAGACAAAAAAACACCCACACACAAAAACTGAGTATTATATCAACTGAATGATCATTTTAGTTAATGCTAGATACACAACAAAATCATAACACCACTTGTATACACAAGTAGTTGATCTACCTGCTGGACAGTTCCTCAATACCTTCTTTGCCAAGTAAAGTCTATACTAACCTCAGTACTTAATCAACAAGGTAACATATCATCCCTTGCAACTTTCTTAATCTAAAGCAATATTTTTAAATCATTTCAGAAATTTATTTTGTCTTACTGTTAGTATTATTATCTTTGTCAAATAAATTTAAATGTGAAATAAAGTTAATCATTAATTTTCCTTCAGTTATCAATAATTTTAGGCCTATACTCAATTACATATTTATGTAGAGAAATAGGATAGCAAACTTACTCAACTATTCTATGTTCAAAATAGCTCTTCATCCTAGGAAATTTTTCAACCTAAAAATCATTTTTTTCTTCAATCCTGCATTAGCTTCATAAAAAAGAAATTAAAACTCTTAACTTTTTTTTTTTCAAATGCAAATATTTTAAATAAAAGATTTTTATAATATATATATTTTTTTTCTTTCTTAAGTGTAAAAAAATAAATGAATTATTGTTTAAATTCCCGATATTATTATTTACATTTGGATTAACCTCAACTTTGTTATTATAAAAGGTTCAGTTAAAATGTTTTTCAAAGGTTGACAGATACCTGAAAAAGGCCAGAGGACACAATGGTTGAAACATTGTGATAACAAAGATGAAGACAGTTCAAATGTAAATAAATTTCAGCAAGATCAAAAAAAAAAAAAATAACTGATTAGATTTGTAGCCCAAGTAATGTTCAATCAATGTTGCAAGAACAGACTGGAACAGCCTTGTTCTCACTATACCTCTCAGTAAATTATCAAGACAGCATTCTCTGTAAAACTCACAAACCTAAGATGTTTTTAAAGCATTTGCTAACAGAAGTAATAAAAGATAAAAAAATTATTAACTCGTTTAGAAGAAGGGATCATTTAGAAGAATTAAAAGCAACTTACAGGATTTCTCTGGTAACAGAAGTTGCAAGACCAAAGTTTGGCTCGGTAATCCACTTGGCTGAAAGAAAATGGTTTTATTTAAATTAAGTGACAGAATATTAGAAAATGATGTAAGTTTAAAATGGTTATTTAAAGTTTTTCCCCAAAATTCCATATTTTTATCATTGTTAACTTTGCCATTACTCAATTTTTTTTCAGAAAATTTGTATTTATTCATAATTATAGTCAACCTAGTGAATCCTAATTTTAGTTTTGTCATGTAAATTGTATATGTAAATTGTATATGTAAAAAAAACAAAAAAAAAAAAAATCACATCTAATGAGACAGCTAAAATTATTCCATTTAAGGAAATATCAATTTTTTTTTCTCAAAAGTATAATTGAGAAGAATTAAGAGTTTGTTAAAAATAAATAAAACTCAATAACATAAGAAAAAAAAAAACTTACCAGAAAGGATTGAGCACGGCTCTGCAAGTCTGTCTGGAACAAAGAACTGGTTCATACTGGAGAGGAGGGAGATCTGCACGTTCTTTGAGTGGCGTAAATAAAGAGCCAAGTGGAACAACCATTCTCGTTGCTTCCAGGCGGCTGGAAGGCCAGACATTCCAGCTAAACCTAATGCCATCTCTGTCTTCATTTTGTTGGATATACTCTTGGTAGCTTGCCATTGTAATGGCATAAACTAAATGTCTACAAAATAAACATTTTTAAGTGTGATAATCTTCCATTGTGGATAGGGAATGAACACAAACATGGATTCAAGAAAACTAATTAATTTACAACTTGTTCAATTATGCTTTTACTACAGTATTTAAAAATAATATTCCTTAATTATTTTTAAATTTTCGTGTACTCACAGAATACAATATAATTATTGGCAATAGATATCCACTTCAAGCAGGGCCAGTACATACTAACCCACCAACCAACAGTGGTCCTGATTGGGGGTCCCAAGTCAGTGCTTTGTGACTTTTGCTATCTTATCAGCATTTGCTTTACCTACATTTATAAATGTTACAAATTAAACTAAGCACAACTGACTATTAAGATGAAAAATGTTGCAGATTTTTATATCATTTTAGGGGTCTTTTTGTCCCTCCAAACGTGTAAATTTGTTTTGCCTATGCTAAGTCTTAGAGGAAAAAAAAAACAAAAAAAAAACACTATATATAAAATTTACTATTCTGTAAAATTTATAATTCATGCATAACAATAAAAAATAACCCAGATGACTGATTCCATTATAAATTCATTAGTAAAAAAAAAAAAAAAATGTTACTGGCAATGAATAATTAAGAGAAAAGAAAAAATTCTTACATCACTTACACCTAGTTAATACTCACATGGTCATTAAAGAGGTTATATTGTTTAATGAGGTTATATTGTTTTTCTTTCAAGTATCTAAGAAGAAACTTCGTTAAATTGGTAAGAATAATATCAGTTTGAATTAATATGCAGAAAATATTAAAAATGTTCTGAATTTAACAAGCTGGTTCTTTAAAAAAAAATTCTTAAAGCTCAAAAGAATAAAATAAGTCCTTTATTAATTAATCAAACTAACTCAAATTCAGATGGTGTTTATTTCAATTTTGAGAAAAGTTCAAAATAAAAGCATTTGAATTTATCAATTTAAGCAACAACACCAAAAATCTATTGTATATAAATAGGTCATAAAATGTTTCACAATTGCTTATTTCAAATATTCATTCCACTGAGATTTCTCTAGTGTTGAATTAATAAAATGTAATATTTTTACCAAAATGATTGTGATAAAAAAGAATGGAAAATTCCATACGCATTGTTGTTGTTTTTTCCAAAAATTAAACTTTTTATAATCTGTTAATTAAACTGGTTATATTTCTCCAATCAACACCTGAAAAAATTTCAAACATTTGAACCGAGTTTATCAAATATTTAAAGATAAATAAGGTACTGAGAGCTACTTTTGAATCCAAAGGACGTAAAATGTGAAAATAATGTATTTTTTACACTTTCAAAATATGATAAAGACTAAACTTGCTATACAGTTGCTTATAGAAAAAAACTTCTGCAAGAAAGCCCAATAACAACAAATTAGTGATAAGCAAGTGACTTTGCTAATAAGTACTCTTTTAGAACTTACTAACAAGTCTAAAAAGCATTTGTAACACCAGGAATCTGTTTCATCCAATTTCCATGATTGGAACTAACCAATATACAAGGACTACGAAAACAATAAAGCATTTTAAACAAGCATTTAAGGGCATTTTTCTGGATGCTCAATGATTAGAATTTGTCAGATCATTAACTTAAAACTTTTACTGACATTCACAAGTACATCTCTCACCTGTATGATGAAGATCAGTTAATCAGGCAAAAAAGATTTATGACAAGGATTTTTTTTACTTATCCATGAAATTAACAGTTAATTTGAATCTCCTCTAACTTTAAATGAAATTTTAAATTTAAATATTCATTTACTAGAAAAATTTAAATGTCATTTTCAAAAAAAGTTATAATGAAAAATGTTTTTAGAAATCATCCACATGTTTAAGAATGGCATATAAAAATATTTTTTTTAATAATTAATTGCATGTAAGTTTATAATTAATTATAAACATTCATAACAGTTTTTACAGCATTATAATTGTTATTAATTCTATAAAATCTCCACTTTTTTGGCATAAATTTTCGATACCTAAGTGACAATACAGTACACACAAGAGTTTAAAAAGTTAAATATTCCAATATTAAATTAAATTTTAGTTTTCAAGTAAGTAAAACAGTAATTTAATCCAATTGTTGGAAGCTGGAGTAAATAATCCAACAATAAAGAAAGACAAGGAATTTTTTTCTTTCCTATGTAATGACGTATTTTTAAAAAATATTTTGTTTTGTTTTGAAAGATAATGATTTTTGTTTTCAAATTTATGTATAAAATAAGTGTTAAAGTAGTTAAAGTGTAATGAAATAATAATAGGTATTACTGCATTTATATTTCAATTTTATACACAGAATATGCGACAGATATTGTGTCTGTAAACCTAAATTTCACTTTTATCTTCATCGACGAATTGTCCGAGTGAATAAACGCAACCAAAAATTGAAATAGTTTTTTTAAAAACTAAAATTTAAAATAGCAAAAGTCGATTTAATAAAGTAAATTATCGTATTTTTAAAAAAAATTAACCATGTACGTGGTCAAAAGAGAAAATAAAATATAATTTATTTTTTAAAAATTTGCTGTGAATTTTCAACAAAATTCTTACACCTGAACAGTGGGACCTGAACGATACAAGAATGCAAACAAAATGAAAACTTTTCAAACTGAAAAATAAAAAAAATAATAGAAACAGGAAAAAAAATGCGTGTTCAAAATTAGGAGAAACTTTTATTTGGGGGGGGGTATGACTGATCAAAGGTAGATTCGAACTCGGATCATCAATGACAATTACTAATTTTTAATTAAAAACAACTTTTAATTTAATCATAAACGGTTTATTGAAAAGGGGTGTGGATTGTGGTGAGTATTAATGACAAATCCACATCAATTATTTTTCATTTTGTTTACTTTTTTAGTTTCTTTTTATCTAAAAAAAAAAAAAGCTATTGATCTTTTTTGTGTGTAACAGGCGCATCGAAATGTCAAATTACAAAAAAACAAATGACAGTAAATAAACAATTTTAAAAACTATTTATTTTAAACTTTAAATAGTTTTTAAAATTGTTTATTTACTGTAGCTGTCAAGTAAAAAACTTTATTTAAAAATAAAATAAATAAACAATTCAATTAAAAATTATCTCTTGTTGAGTGATGGGAGTTCTTAAACTTGATTTCTACGATCAAAAATAAGTATTTCTTGACCAAACCTAAAAATTTGAATAATACATGTCATTGTCATTCATTACGTTAACATAAACATCAATAACCTTTTCTGATTTCCTGAAGAGTGAAGAAGAGAAGACTATAAGAATTTAAAGTACACATGACATAACATAACGGATTGAATGTAAAACTGAACTCAGAACTGTCATTACAATTGTATTGTGTGTGTTTGTTTTCGAAATCTTTCTTTTTTTTTTTCCTTTTCGACATAGAAATCAGACTGGTATATAGAAAATAGACAGGTAATAATAATTTTCCTTTCATAATTGAAGCTGTTAGTATTCTGTGCATCACGAGTAAGTCAGGTCATAGCAGATTTGCTTACGTAAAATAAAAAAAAAATCATTTTTGATTTCTTTTTAAAACTGCTCCACGTTGTAACATGACAAAAAAAAAATACACACAATAATCTAGATTGTGTGATACAAAAAATTAAATAATCTGCGTGTAAGCAAACGAAAACTAGCATGACCTCTTTAAAATCCGTAGTGAAAAACCAACAATTTTTAGCTTTCTTACCATGAAGGATTGTAAAAATGTACTTTAGACGTGAAAATGTATGTTTTTCAACAGTTCTACAAATATTTTAAAAGCTGTTGCTGGCACATCTGAATAATGTGAGAAAGGGAATTTGTTTCATCGATTTAAAGTTCAAAATGCTATCAATTTTTACACGAATGTAGAAAACTGGATAATCAGCTGTTCAGTTTAAAATACGATCGAAAACCATTCGTTAGAGTTGGAATCAAATAATTAATATAAAAATTAATGACCATAGCGATCAGCAGCAGACGAACGTCTTTCAGTGTTATTATATTTTATTTTTGTGTAACAAAATTAACCAGCATTTACGAGAAAAATTCCGAAATCGATCTTAAAACAAAAATCCATTAGATGATCAAATAAAAGTGAAAATTAAATGAAATCATGTAGTCATTTATGGTAAAAGAAATAGAATAAAAACATGACTGAACAAAAAAAAAACTGAAGTGAAAAGGGAGGGTGTCATCTTTCGAATGAACGGATTGTTTTTAGAATTACTCAAACATGATCGGCTTTAAAGTAACTAGTAGTTAAAATTTATACCATTCCAATAAAAATATACACAAGACTGAAAACACGATCAAAATGTATAAAGACCGGCGTAGAAGTGAGTGTACTTCTTTTGACCATACGAAAAGAAAAGAGGAAAAATATAAAACACGAGAGAGAGATAATGATGATCAGATAAATCAAAGATTTTGTTATATTTTTCAAATAACTTTGTTTATAGAATTTGTCTAAAAACAACCTATCAGTTTTCTTTTTGTTTAAACATGAAAAAAAAAAAAAGAACTAACCTTATTAAGCAGTAAAATAATTAACTGGAATGCCGGCGCTGAAGAAGCTGGCTTCCACAGCTGCTGGAACTTGTGACGAAGGAAAATGACACGAACACGGAAGTGATGCCACGTAGCTATTCCCAGAATGCATTGCGCCGGACCACGACACATTTCCGTTTTATTACCGGTGAAGATAGAAAAGTGACGTCTGCTTTAGAACTGAAAAAAAAAAAGGAAAGGAAAGTTTGTTCATGGTTTATTATTGTTGTTACGATGTCGAACTCGCCGATCAGTGCAAGCAAGTTGGATTACTTGCTGCAAACATTAGTTTGCAAGGAAAAAGAAATTATCGACAACGTCTTCACAGCTTTTAAAGGCCGAGGTAATAATTTAAAGAAAAATCCATCGAAATGTAAAAAAAAAATCCATGCTTTTTTTTTCTTAGCTTATTTTCTTTGCAAAATTAATAATTCATTTATTACTTCATTTGTTACAAAATCTAAAGTTTCTTTAGTCTTTTTATCTTTTTCTAAAAAAATGGGAATTTTTTCTTTCTTCCGTAAAATATGTAAAAAAATTCTATTTTTTCTCACAAAAATTGTACATGAACATTATTGTTATTATTGTTTGATGCATTTTTTTTATTTCATTGATTAGCAAGAAAGATATCTTTTTCAGCAATAGGAATTTTCTCAGTGTTTTTACGCTACTACTGCAAAATCTTCTTTATAATAGTAGTAAAAAAATATCACCTGTTGATTTAAAGTGGTATAACTGGCTCATTAGGGAAGGGTGTGTTCCCTTAGAAACTAAAAGTTTGAAAATGATTCCCTTTTCTGAATTTTTCGAGTGTTTTGGAGTTTTTTTTTTTAGTTTTTTTTTATCTATAATTTATTTTAGTCCGTAAGCAAAAAAAAAAAAAAAAAAAAAAAAAATTGGAAGGAGTTATGACATGTAGCCCAATTAAATACACACATTTTTTTCTCTTAGTTGTAGAAGAAAGAATTCTAACAACTATCATTTTTTTACGGTACCCCTAAGGTGTAAAAATATTAGAATTCTTTCCATAAATGCATTTTCCGTATTAATAAAACTTATTTTTGCTTTCCTTATTGAAAAAGGTAAATTGGTATTTGGAAAAAAAAAAAGTATTTAAAAAGTTCAAATCTTCAAAATAAAAAAAAAAAGTTACCTTTTTTATTCAATGAATAAAGTTCATGTTTATTTACTTAAATTTTAAATTAATATTGTCTGGTGGCGTAGTAAAGCAGAAACTTTGACTAGAGGATGATAAATTCTTAAAACCAGTAAATTTTTTTCTTCGTACAAAAATTCTGTCAATTTCCAAGAAGATTTTTTATTTTCTTTGCAAGATTATTTGATTCCTCTCTTACTAAAAACTAATGTAAACTAGAGAATAACTAAAAAAAAAAAAAAATTAATGTAAAGAATTTTTTAAGTTATAAAAAATAAAAACAAAAAACCTATTTTTTTTTTTTTTTAAACCAGATCTCTAAAATGTCACGGGGTTATTACCACAACCTTTCTCATATCCGTACCGTTTTAAATGAATGGAAGGTTAAAAAATACAACCTACACAGGATCATGAAACTTGTATCTTAAAAAAACAAACTATATAATCTGTTGACTGCGAATGGCACAAAAATTCATGTCGCAGAACGGGTTTAAATGACATTTTTAGAGAATCTGATATAATTTGAGGGCAATGATTTCACAGTGTAAGGGAAGGGGTATTAATTTGACTTGAGCAATCTGTTATTTTCCAGTTTCCACCAGTCACCAAAAAAGAAGGAAAGACACGAACACTAGTAACTAAATACACTCACACGCGATATTTTTTGTCCTATTTTCAGTGTTGACTGTTGACTCATTTTATTTTTTATGACCTCTTTAAAGATTTGAGTTGATTCGTCGCTTCCCGCATCATCCAAAAAGTAAAATTGTGGGAGATGATATCTGCCAAAAAAAAAAAAAAAGTAAATTAATAAACTGCATCTATGACTTTAATTTTTTTTTCTTTTTTTACTTTTTGAATGAGCCATCAATTAACTGTCTCGCTGTAATACTTGTTTACTTTCGCGGCCGGGTCAGTGCTGCTATTTAAATTTATTGCATTTTAAAGACAAAATAAAGACTAAATTAGGCTCTAGCTGTAGAAAAAAAATGTGTTTAAAATTAATAATTAATTTCTCTTGAGTCTCTTGTATTTTTTTTTGTTTTTGTTTTTGTTTTGTTTAACGAGTTAATGTCATGTGCCTGCAAAGCCAATGGGTGGGAGACTAAGTTTAAATTTTTTTATTTATATTTAAAATGTATTGATATTTTGAACGATACGCGAAGCAGACGATAATTTTTTGTTGCCGCTCTTTTTGGGGGATTTGAAAGCTGGAGACGCCGACTCCTTTTAATCGGAGGATATTATCCTCAGTCAGAAATTTATTCTTGGTCGTTTAAAGACGCTTTGTATTCTGGTTCTGTGGTAAACTAATTTAGTTTACCAACTAAAATAGCATGTTACCTTGAATGTTCGACTTACAGTGTCGAATTATTTTCATTAGATTTCATTTAAATTATAACTTTTTAATAACTACCTGGTTTTATTTGTGGGAAGAAGGGATAGTGAATTTTTCGTATCGAGTGACTTTGTAGAAAAGATTTTTTTTATTAGCTTCGGTAGAATTCCGAAGCTAAAATTTGTTTATTAACTTGAGAAAAGTTATAAATTTGTTTAAATATAACTTGAGAAAAATTTTTTTTTTTTTTTTGACTTAAGAAGGCCTTGAGGTATTGACGCAAAATGTAGAATTAATGTAGATGCTTGTTAAAAATAACAAACGTACTTTGCGGTTTATAAGTTTTGAGATTTATTTCATGTTTGTCTAAGATAGAGATTTAGACATTTATTTGGAAGAGGTAATTTTATTCCCAAGATGAGGAATTATTGCCTTTGCGGATTTGTTTGTATTGTTGACTTGGAGAGTCAAGGTTTTTTTGGTGGGGGTGGGGTGCAGAGAGAGTCATTCGATGCGGGGAATTCTGCCCTAACCTCGTTCTCTATTTAAAATAAGATTTTAAATAGATACTTATCTTGAAATTAGATCTTTTTAGCCTAGGTTAGAGGCGTTGTGTTTTTTATTTTCCCTTTCAACTCCAAAAAAAAGAGAAAAAGATGTATCTGAAAAAATTATCTCTCATCCTGTAGAAGAAAAGATTTTAACAAGTTTTTTTTTTTTTTTTTTTCTGTAAAAAAAAAAAAAAAAGATGTTTAAGTTGTCAGTTTAAAGAATAATACTTTCTTTTTAGACTGACAAAATTATTTATGTAAGTAGTAAAATCCTTTTTGTTTGTTCTGTTTTTTGTTGCTGTATGGAACAATATGCATGAAATTGTTTTTGTGTTAAAATAAAGATTTTCTGTGAACTTTTAGTCTTATTTTCTATAATTTAAGATCGTCTGCTTCATTTAATTATTTTTCTTTATTTCTTATGAAGAAGCCGAAAACAAAATCGGCAGTTTTTCCCTGTCTTATTTATTTACACAGATAAAACTTAAATTACATTAAATTTGAATTAGATTTTATTATATATATATATATATATATATATATATTCATCAGAACGTTAGGTTAGAAGAGCGTTGTAAAGAGGAAGAGTTGTGCCACTCAGGACAACTGCGTACAATACCGAACCCCCTGAATGGGAGTGGGGTCTGATTGGAAATTTAAACTAAGAAACACAACTGATTTTTAAAAAAAAAAAATTTTTCGCGGATCTTGGCGTGATTTGTGGTCTCTTTTTCGTTCAAATCCGTGAAATTGTTTTATAAATTCCGAAAAAAACCCCACTAAAATTCACCATCTATAATATTGAATGTTTTTTTTTTTTAATTCAACTTTTTAACAAGAAAAATCCAAGTTGATGTTAAAAAATCTTTAAAACTGCCGCATAGCGGCAAAAAACATTGATTTTTATTTTTTAAAGTAAAAAAAATTAAGATGGAATGATCTATCTATTATGAGTATGACATGTCTCTAAATTAAAAATTTGTATATTTAAATACATTTGTATTTATTTTCAATTTTTCTACTTGAATTGTTCACCTACATTGTACAATGGTAAGTTACAATAAAAATTGTGTGTTTCATAGATGCGGGGAGAGGTCACTAGCTAGACCCTTGTACCGGACCTGGTGCAACTATTTATTTTCTATTTGATTGTTTAAAGTTTGAAAGTAAATTTTGAATTTTCATATTAGATATATAAAGGACAGGTTATCAATAGCAAATGATTTTATTTTTACATAAATGAGACATTGAAAATATATTTTAAATTTACATCTTAAATTTTACTTTAGTCTTTTAAATTATAAACAAATTGTAAAGAAAAACAATTTCAAAACTTCAACCTCATTTTATTCTTTCGTTTGGTTTATTCTTTTTATAGGCTGATGTCAATTTCATGAAAATGGCTTCTGATTTCTACTTTATAACTCAAAACGTTACTTTATCTTCACAGCCTTAATGTTACTACATTTCTTGGTAAATTAAATTAAAACTGATACAGTAATACTAATTCATATACACTTTTCAATAATGGTTAACCTTTGTGACTGCAAAAAAAGATGGTGTTGAAACAAGTTATTACCTTGACACCACTTTTGACTTTGTGTTTATTGTTTTTGAAAAGCAATTATTAAAATTTGGGGTTTTATTAAAACCCAAATATATGAAAATGGATTTATTTATACATTTTATTTATTCTGGAGAATTGACAACAAAGATACTATTTATTTATTAGATTGAATTCATAGTTTTTTTTATAAAATGGTAAATAATAAATATTGCATTGTGGTTGGTTTGCATAATTTGATAACTTTGTAATATTTTTTTATATATTTTTGAATAAATATTTTTCAAATTTCTTTTATAAAAGGTAAATAATAAATCTTTATAAAATAATAAATATTGCATTGTACTTGATCCACATATTATTATAAACATTGCTGAGGGAGTCAAAAGTGTATACAGTAAAGGCGGTGTCAAGGAAATAACCATCCTCATGACACCATTTTGTTTTGCAGGCATGAAGGTTAAACACTGCCTACTTTTTGATCTCTAGACTGATCATGCAACATAACAAGACAGCATACTTTCATTAACTGTAACTACAGAGCACGGTAAGTTATGAATTAAAAACCAGTCTAACAAAGTAACTGCACCATATTCTTGGCTGATTTGGGCACCTTGGCGTGTTGTAATAGTTAGCAAGCTTGTCTCGCTAAAACAGTTATGACTGAATAGTGAGTTCGATCCTCACTGGGTGCCCCATACTTTCGGCCTTGTGCCATATCTAAGCTATGCTTAGAAAATCAATATTCTTAGCTGATTTCATTTAGCAATTCATGCTGCATATGCATGGCATTTTTTTTTTCTTGATTTCTTAGTATTTGACATGTCTCCAGCATTTTTTGAATAACAGCTTCCATGATAAAATTCCGCATGCTACTTTTCTTTATTAAATATAAGCTTACCAGCTGGAATTTCCTCATCAATGTGTGTAACTATTTCATTACAAAACGTAATTATCTCCCCTGAACTCTGCTATAATTTATACACATGTCAAAGAGTAAGAAATACAGCACACAACAATTTGGCTACAGGCACAAAATATATATTGCCTTACCATTTGGTGTCAGTTCATTGGAATGGTATCATGTCTGTTCCAGACTGTCATTTTCTTTCACATTGATGTATATGCATGACTGTCCTCTCACCAGTAAGACCTCATTTCAGTTTTTTGTTCAATACTTGAGTGGACTTTTTAACTGTTTGCTTGTTTTTTTTTTTTTGTTTCTTTTTCTTTTTTGCATTGATTACATCTTTTTGTCTGTTGGTTTTCAGTTTCAGACACAAATTTGTTTGGGTTGCAGGTTTTTCTACATCTTGGTAATGGTGAAAAGTTTTTTTGGTTTTTTTTTTTTTCCCTTTCCAAACCTGGTTTGGAGAGTACTTGTAGCATTACAAAACTTAATTATCTGCTTTGATTTGGCTATAAATTAGGTTTATGCCAAAGTGTAAGAAATGCATCACCTGACAGTTTGGCTAGAGGCATGAAACATAATTTACCTTGCCAGTTGGTGCCAATTTTTCAGAACGACATCATTTGTATTCTATCCTTTCATTTTCTTTTGCTTTTTATAGCCTACTCACATCACTGATGTAACGCATGACTAAGTCAACTCACCCATAACACCTCATTTCACTTTGTTTTTCTGTATCATCTAATACATATTCAGTTCAATGAACTACTGTTGTCTAATTATAGTTTCTGTAAATATGTAGATAAAGTATTTTCTCTTAAATGTAATATACACGTCTCTGTTTTTATTAACCAAGATACATAAGTGTTACTATATTGGGATGGTAAGATATATTTATCTCCATCTACCTTAGAACCTTGCTTTGAGTAACAGACTGCTCAAGGTAAGATTGGCATTTTTAAATTGAACCTTTGTGGTATATCATATACTTCTTCCTGAAGCCACCTTAACATAAGATAGTGTTTAGCAAATTAGTCTTACAAATAATTACTGCTGTAGTGAATTTGCTCGACACTGCCATTCAAACTTGCTGCCTTATGCCATACACAGCTAAGCTTAGTTAATATAATAATATAACATCTGCCTAATGCATTGCTGATTCTTTGTTCAAATCATTACCTGCACCAAATGACCAAAGTTCACATCACACTATTCATTTGGCCAAAAGACTTTTTTATTTTATCAATTTGAAGAAAGTCAAAGATGTTCAGATAATAATAGAATCATGTTAATATTTCTTTGATTGCCTTCCTAATTCTTTTCTCATTTAAATTTATGAAAATATCTGTTTATTGTTTTTAATACATAAATTTTATTTTTATAAAGATCATTATTACTATAAAAAAAATAATTTGTTATAAAATCTCTTTTCATTCTTAATCTAAAGTAACTATTTAAACATGATTTCAATAATTATTTTAAAAATTCCTTTGTAAAGTTACTAAATATATATTAATAAAATAAAATCATATATTTAAACATTATTTTATAATTTGATTTGTGATGGGAAAGGCCAAATCTTAAACTTTTACCAATCTAACATGTTTCACTTTTATTAAAGCTTCATCAGAGAAAAAGTTATGGAGAAAAAGAAGAAATTCTGGTATTTAGATTTGTATATTTTATTCATTGTTTTTATTTTTTTATTTTCATAATCTCATCTGACACCACAGATCTGCTCGGCTTCAAATTTGGTTGGCATGTGTATTTTTACCTGTGAATATCCTTAAATGGGTTTGCTAGTGTTATTTTATGCTTTCTCTAAATGTTGGTTGTCTTATATCTTTTCATCACTCAGTACTTGTCTTGGCAAATATCACTTGTAATCTGACCTCTTGTAGTTCACATACACTATATATATATATATATATATATATATATATTGAAATTATTTCATTTTATAATATAAATTCTTTGAAAAATTATCAGTGTTTATGTCTGCTTTTTAAAAAGATAAAATTTCAAGGGTGTAAATATTATGAAATTAATGGTAAAAAATCTTTTAGTTTCAGTCTTTGAGTTATGATTCAACCTAGTATGATATAAACCTATATTCCCCTGAAGGTGTCAGTTTACTTTAAGCTGGCACCTTATATATATATATATATATATATATATATATATATATATATATACACACGCACACCTATGAACTATAATTTTAGAACATATTACTGAAATATGTTGGAAAATTACCGATTTTTTTTATCAGAAATCAAGGGAAAAAAATTTGTAAAAGTATAGAAAAAAAGTTTTCTGCTTAAAAGTGATGTCAAGAGGATATAGGAAAACTGTTTCAATAAACGAGAGCTATGACTTTCAATAAATGTACTCTGTGGTCAGTCAGTCAATTATGTGCCATGCGTGATACATGCTTAGGCAAACGTATCTTGATACCTGACTGACGAGGCAGATTTTTTCCCACTGTAGGTTGCCATTTCTTTCTGTGGTAGACCAGTTGCCATCCTGCCCTGCTATTTACCCATAGCCATATGGAGGGGAGAAGAGGATTCATACCTTTTCCAAGGGTATTAGCACGTAAGTGAATATAATGGATTCGACTGGAATTCAAACTGAGCTCTCCGATTCCTCAATCCGAGCCGCTATCCATTACTTCAACGTGACTCCTCTGTGAAGTGAATGAAGCGTTTATTTGTTTAGAGTTATCTCCCATGTAACTAGTGATCTGATTTGTTGATTAGTTCGTTTCCTATGAATTTTTTTAGATTATCAAGCTTTTGCAGGTTATTTAAATGCAAGAAAATGTTTTTAGATTGTAAGAATTATTATTTTTCATTTTTATTTTTTTCGATAATAATGGTTTTAGTGAATTAATCAAGAGCTGTAGTGAGAAGAGTTGGATCCATAACTTTCCCAAGAGGATTTATTTATGCTTTTGGCTTTTTAAATGTAAGTGAACTGTGAATATAACGAACCCAGTGGGAATTGGTACTCGGCTCTCTGATGAACAATTCCGAACTGTTATTCATTACACCACCTGCACATCCAAGCTTATAGCACCTGGTATTCCCAAACGGTCACCCATCTAGGTACTGACTAGGCTCAATGTTGCTTAACCAGTGTTTCAACATGATAAGCCTCATGTAGCCAAAGATTACCAACTAACTATTTTATAATTTTTATATACTGTTTGTGTGTGTGTGTGTGTAATTTCCTAAGAAAAGTATACATAATTTATCAGATAATACTTATCTGGCACATGCAGGTATGTGTAAAAATATTAAGCTCAAACACCAGGGAACCTTCCCTGCAGGCAGTACATCTCCTTCAAGAGGAGGCTGGGTTTATTGCCTGGTGCCTGAGGCATCCCCAAAAGGGGAAGTGCCAAGGGGGCTTGTGCAATTTTTTTACAGTATTGCCTTTAAACCCACTTTAAACCTTGACCTTGTAGAAAAATACCTTATCAAATAATGACACTAATATTTTTTAGCTTAAATCTGATGAAAATATATAATTATAACTAATACTGCTAAAATCTGATATATTTTTTGTATTCAATTACTCTGAAAGAAAAAAAGTTAGTTATGAGGCCAATAAAGTGTGTTTGTGTGTGTATATATATATATATATATATATATAAAATTTTTGAAGAACATACTCAGAATGAGAGGTGATTATGATTGCAAGAAATAGTTAATATGAAAATAAGCCTTTAATAATATTTCAATTTTGATCCTTTACTAATTGTCGTCATAGGAACTTTGAATTTACACATTTATATACTTTACATATGTTACCCATCAGACATGAAACATTAAGGATAACAATCATGCTGGAAAACATGCTTTTTGATTAACAAGCAAAGAATGCTTGAAAATTATAAGTAAACAATAAATATTAAAAAATACTTTTTGTTAGCTAATCAGTTATTAGTTGTCTAAAAGCATATTATGTTTGATTTACATTTTACCTTAGATGTTCAAATGGAAATTAAAATTTATAGAGTTAAATAATTTTTTTTTTCACTTAAGGATGTTTCTTTCATTTCAACCCCATTTTTGTTTTTCATGATTCAATCTAACTTAGATGCAAGGGTAAGCAATTATTTACTTGACAAGTATTATTTTATAAGTTACACTTTTCAGTTGAAATTCTCTTTAAAATTACTTGAATGAGTTTCTTGTATTAATACTTGTTTTACTCCACTTTGTAAAAATTTTTTTTTTAATCAGCTGAAATTTCTTGTTTTATTAATTTTTAAGAATCACTGAACCAATTCATTTCATCAGATCTTAGTAAGCTGTTTGGAATTGTTGCTGCTTACATAGACTGTTTTCAGAGGTAACTCAACATTTTTTCTATTAGCTATTATATATTATGTTTAAATAATATTTGAAAAAGGATTTTATATTTAAAATTTTCAAACTGAATCTCATCATATATGATTAGTTTCAGTTTGATATATCGACTCTCAAATAAAAATAAATCTGAAAGAAACAAAATTATTTAATTATATCATTGGGTTGAATAAGAAATGATTTCCTACAATAATCTTTTGCTTAAGAAACTTAAAGTTGCAAAAAAAACATTATCTGAACTTAGAATTTCTTTCAATTTAATTTTAGTTGCTTTTCATCATAACTAAGACCATCAGTCTACAGTAGGGGTCCCAAAATTGGTCAATATTGACCTCTGATTTGTTGACGGGACTATTCATAAGGAGAGGTGATAAATTCTTGATGGGAGTGGTCAAAAGAGAGCCAATAAATTGTGGTGACTTATGACTAAAACTCACCATTTTCCAACTGAATGTCAATCAATCATACCCATCCAATTAATGATGTCAATAGAAATGTATATTATTTTATTTTTAATGTGGTTATTATTACTTAACATTATTTATAAAGATTTTTTTTCTAATTATTCAAATTCATTTAGTATAGGAAAAATTGAAAAAGGAATAACAAAATGTAAAGCTAAAATGAATCTTAAGAAAATACTGAAGGAAAAGAACAGAGGAATTGCTATCCTTAAATAAAAAAAATATTGATATTTATATTTTTGTATATGCCTGGGGTGGAGTATCAGGGAGCAAGGATTCCATGAAGAAGTCAGTGATCTAAAAAGTTTGGGGATTTGGTTTACATCCATTAATATGCAACACAGATCAGAAATAAATAAAAAAATGTTCTTAATGAGATTCAAATTCACATCCCATTGCCTTGAGAAGCCTGGTTAACCATACTAGTTACTCTGCCAGATAAGCCACGAGAGGCAAATAAAATTGTCATAAAAAAAGAGCATAATTGGCAAGTTAAATTTTATTCTGACAAAAATCAATATTAGAGGGAATTAATAGTAGCTACCAATCAGCAGAAAATAATTAAACATGAAGGTATTTTTCTTGTACCAGAAGAAAGAAGGGTAATAACTATTAACAAATCCACATGGTAAGCTACAAATACATATATTCCATAAATATCTATTTTTGAAATAATTGGATTCACCGAGTTAATGCTTATGTGCCATAGTATAACACTGGAAAATTTAATTGGTAAATATAAATATTCATCCGCAAGGCTCCCAAAGAGTGAGAATGAATAGGAAAAAATCACTGTGTTAAACTGAGAGAAATCAGATCATCTACAGAGAAAAAAAAAAGTTATTTACTCAGGTTTCAAAAATATTTGAAAGTTATATTTTTTTGGAGTGTAATTAAAACATGTACAAAAAGCATTGAAGTAACCTCAAAGAAAAGTCTATATTTTTAGGATGCCTACAAATATCTTTTCAGTTTGTTTCTCTTTTAAAATCTTCCAGTCAGAAATGAAAAGTTTATCAAGATTTGTATTTCTTTTATATGTAGAAGAATAGAAACTACACTTTTGATCTTAGACAAAAAAATAACAAAGAAACTCATTATTTTTTTTTTTCAGTTTACAGATCAAGAAAAGAGATGAGCTTAGTTCTGTACTAACAAAGTATTACAGGTAAGAAAATATCCTATTGTAATTGTGCTTGTCCCTCCCTTTGTTAGTTCACATGACTGTTCCGTACTGTGAGAGGAAAAGTCACTACTTGGTTTCAGATAGAGAGAAAAGTAGCGTATAAGAACATATACTACACTTTGATCTTGTCTGAAAGGTGATGTTTACTTATATAAAATACATTATTTTGTGGAACATGGCCGAAGTGGAGGTGGGAAGAGGCTGGTCTACACTATCCTACACCTAGCTAATCTAACTTGTGACCCATACACTAACAATTTCCTCAATCACCACAAGAACACATCCTTTATCACTCAATCTAACATATACCATAATACCACATATTCACTGGTGTCCTACAAAAACACCCATGATGTACAAATATATAATATACATATTTTTTATTTTATTTTTTCTTTATTTTTTTACAGTAAGGTTCTAGCTGTGAAGGTTAGAACTGGTGGAACCAAGGAATGTAGTTTGTCTGAATACTTTCCATGGAAGTAGCTATAGTGAAGTGAGACTCCTCACATCTTGCCTGTAAGAGAAAGGTTGAAGGATGGAAAATAATTTGTTGGCTACAAGGATGCTAAGACACTTTTGAACTCTATTGGGACTGGAAAGTGAAGACTGGGGAGCTCCTGCCCAAATATGACAGTACTCCATTTTTGGTCTGATCTGGCTCTTGTAAAGGTAGAGGATAGCATGAAGAATAAAGTACTTACTGGAGTGGTACAGGGAGCCAACCATTTTACCTGCATCTTTAGCAATGGATCGTATGTATGAGTTCCACTTAAGGTCAGGTGGAAGATTAAGGCCAAATTGTCTCTCAAGGCATGGTGCCTCCCTGAGGGGACATTCTTTCATCATAAGTGGTGGTAGTTTAGGGTTCAATCTGTAATGATGGCATGTAACTAGTTTGGTTTTTCAGACATTGAATGTAAACAGCCAATTTTTCCCATACTGGGAAGTTAGTGCTAGGTCAGATGAGAAATCAGCTGCCAATCTCTGATTAAGAGTTTTAGAGGTTCACCTGTATATCATATCATCAGCATAGATGTTTACAAATCATCTGAGTATATTGTTAGGCAGATCATTTATGTAAATCAAAAAAAGAATTAGTTTGAAAAGGGACCCCTTGGGGAACACTTTCATTGACTAGCAGGGCTCAGAGGACTGGTTCTGAAGTTCAAATTCTAACTGGATCCATTTTGTTAACTTTGCACCAATGCAAACATTTCCAAACATAAATCCACCTTTTTCCAGTGGTGGATTAAATCTGGACTCTTTATTCTTGGTAAAGTAATCAATCTAGGAAAGGAACCACACTGAATTCCAAAAAACAGCCTGAGGATGAATAGGCCGCATCAGTATATCTTGCCCTAGACATATCCATTGCTCCTACAGCTGTAGTACATGAGGTGCTCCATATACCCTAATGGATTACAGTACTCTGTTATTGTTAAAAGAAAATGTTAATTTAGTGGAAATATATTTGGAGAACATGTTAAATTCACAGAAACAAGAATTTATATAAAATTCAAGGAAATAAGTTAATATTGATAAACAGTTTAACTAGCAATTGCTCATCTTAGCTTCATGATTTTCCTAACTTTTTAGTTATACAACTGTTTTGAAATAATTTCATTTAAATTTTTATCATATTATTTGTCTCTCTCTCTTCACTGGCACCAGTTTGTGACTTGAGGTGCATATGTTTTTCTCTCCTTCTTTAATTCTTCTCTCACTGCCTTGCTAATTTAAGCCAGTCAAAATGATACGCATTTGGTTAAACACCATATTTGTAAAATGTGGTTAAAAAAATCCTTTGACTTGTGGTAATTCATTTAAATGACTAGAGAGCACTATTAAAAAGGTAACCACTGTTTATGTCAAAAGCATGGTCTTGGTAGTAATAATAATAAAAAAATACAAAAAAAAATTGTCAACTGCAATATATATATATATATATATATATATATATATATATATATATATATGTCACAGCTGCCATTGGCTGCTCCTTAGAAAAACGACCTTGATCTTCTTGCAGATTTAAGTCCAGCAACATGCGAGAAACTGGACGACTGGCCCAATATGGTTGAGTCCAAACTGTGCCTCATGAGCATCGGATTAGGCAGTGCTTCCCAAACATTGAACATCATGTGGAGTAATTTTAGATCTACGGTTTTCTACTCTCTCCAGCCAGGGAGTACTTGAACAAATTGTTCCACATATTGTTAGCCCTTTTTTGTTCAAGAGGAGGCTGCTCAGCCTGGAGGCCAGGATCAAAGTGTAGTACGCTACCTTTGTGAGCTTCCGGTGCTTCGTTGAGAGAATACTCTTTGGCGTGGTTGATCGCCCCGAAAGACGTATTGTCTCTCTGACCCCAGCTTCATCAAGTGCTACACTTCGGCGCTATCCCATCTCTGCAGTTGATCCACCCTGGAAGCCGTAACATTACTCTGACTCCACCCTGTTTAGGGATTTTGCCTTCATCAAGTGCTACACTTCAGCGTGATTTCGCCTATGTGGTTGATCTGCCCTGGAAGTCATATCACTATTCCAACTTGGCCCTGTTTAGGGACTTTGCCTTCGTCAAGTGCTACACTTCAGCACAATCCCATGTACATGGTTTATCCACCCTGGAAGTCATATCGCTATACTGACTCGGCCCTGTTTAAGGACTCATCCTAACCGATCCAACAAATCTTCGTGCATCATCGATCAACCAGCTACTGCCATCAACAATTCTCCAATCTGGCAGTCGACCAGCTACTGCTGCCAATCAACTCTACCCTTGTTTTGCCCATACAACCGAATCAACTTCCCCTGAAGGAAACCAGTCATTCCAGACAGTACACTCTTGTACATTTTGGATAAATAAAATTGACATTTATTGTTTTCTTAAACCTCTGCCTTTGTCCCCTCATTGTCTTGACTGTTCACACCTTTCTTCTAAAAGCTTGCTTGGGCGACATCCTTATCGGCCCCACAACATATATTTTATGACTCTTACAGATATTGATGTGCCAGTAAGCCTTGTTTGTGTTTGTCAGAATATTTTTTGTTGTGGAAAGAAAATGGGATGACAGAGAGAGAATTCTGGTGGTTAACTTTAATATTTTCTTATGAGTTAAATTTTATTTTTTCTTGAAGGCTGCATTTTCTTGGTATTTTGCTTACAATTTACTGCTTCTTGTTTTAGGGCAGAAAACATTGAAGAACGTGCAAATCAATTACTAGAAGTTGAGGTAACAAATTGTCTTTTGTTTTTATTTTACAACAGCTTCAATTTTATGTTTTTATTCCCAAAAGCTTTCAATCAAAATTAGTATATGCAGTAAAGTGCTATCAAGCAAAGTAATGTAACCATTTGATCCTTTTTATCACTTGGTAGCAGGTAATGGTATATTTCATGAGAAAGTACATTGATCCAGGACTTTTTACTCTAGTAGTGAATAAACAATTCCAGATTTAGGCATAAGTGAAACCAGTTATAGTGTTTCTCAACTGGTGCATCTGGTGGTGCACTAATTTACCCTGAAAAGTAGCCATGTGTGCTCAAGTTAACAAAAGAGTAATTTATTAAATGTTTTTAGATTTAATAAAAATCTTTATTTTTAAAAAGCTATAAACACTAATCACATGGCTTCCATGTCTGTCAGTTCTTTGTCCTTTAAGGAATTTACAATCCAGTTTAAAATTATCAATCTTTTAGAAGTTGATAATCATTTCCATTTTGTCTCCTTCAAGGGATCTGTAGAGACATCATCATCATTATATATGCAATGGAAAACTTTCCTGCCTGAGAAACAGATTCTTTGCACCTAAAAATGTCCAAGTCACTCTCTTCGGTACTGATCCTCAAAGAGTCAAGATGTCCAGTTCTTCTCGGCACCTGGCTTGTCATAAGACGAAGTGACTTTCTTCCTCTATTATATAAAACCACCTTAAAACACATATAACTAAAATACACGCATATCAGAACATAGAAATAAATAAAATTACGATTTTCATTTTAACATTCATTTAATGTTATTTCCTTATGTTTTTATTCCCATGAACATCAGACTATCCCGGCTGGTATGATGTGAGGGACCCTACAGATCTAAATCTGTTGTTATCAGCCTCTCTAAAAAAAAAAAAAAAAAAAAAAAAAGCAGATTCTTCATAAAACCATTTAAATGAAAACTGTATTGCTTAAATGTACAATGTAATATCTTAAACATAAATGCTTATTTCAGGAGGTATCTTTATTATTGTCCTATTTGCAAATTTCATGATTAATTTAAAATTGATTAAAATTTAAAGTGCACGCCAGAGTTCGTTATTCTAAAAGTGTTCCCTAAATTTAAAAAAAAAAAATTAATGCTGAAATACTGTGTTAGAGACTTATAATTCACAGGAATCATGAAAAATGTAAGTAATTGGGTGATAAGCTTTCTAAAATTCCAGCATAATTTTTTTAAGGTGCTTTTAAACTTTATATGTAGTTTAGAGCCTCACCAACCCCATGAATCAAATGAACACCTTGAAAGCCATGATTGTTCAGGAATAATTGAAAAGAAATTTCATCAATATGTCACTAAAAAATGTTGTGGTCCATGTGGTCACTTCATCAAAAAGTTATCAGCATTGTTTTGTTTAATGATCAAAAACAAATGCTTTTATTGAACACAACATTGGAAAATCTGACTTGCAGTTGCATAAAAATCACAGAGACTGACACATCTACAATGAAAATCAATACCCTGTCTAGTGGCAAAAGCAGCTGGTGGTGCCAGGGGTGGCAGTAATGCCTTAGCCACCAAAGCTGTGTTACCTCCCTGGATTGGTAGCTGATGAGGACAAGGTATCGCACATGCTTTCACATATATGTAGAAAATTCTATGCAGAACTAATGTTAAAAACCAGGTTAGCTTGCATAAACAGTAAATAATTGGCTCCCTTGCACCTTGTCTTAAAAATATGAAAAATCAACATAATGAAATTTTCATTCCAGTACAAAGGATTTATATTTCTGAAAAGATACAAAAAAGATACATCTCCAGTTTAACAGTTGCCATAATGTATTGATCTCATTTGGTATAAATATGTGTGGTAATTATGTATTATTTTGTATAACTTTTTATTATTTAGTATAAATATCTTTGAATTAGCAAGATAATTTTATAAAGAGGTTGCAGTAATTCTTTTAGCATACAAATAATAAAATTCTATTATCATTTGCCTTAAGCTACATGATAAAGGGTGTTCCAATAAATTAAACTTAATTCACATTTAAAATTAGTCCAAGTTATTGGAACACCCTTTATATATTCATAATTTAGAGCATGTTTAACTAAAAATGTAGAAAATAGCATCTATTTTCTATTATTTTCTAAAATGATTATTTGTGACATTGCAATAACTCTTGGATATTTTGAATTCAAAGCAAAAATTTTACAATGAAATTTAAAACTAAAACAATTTTGTTGTAATACTTCTTTTACAGACAGAATGGGATGAAATGTTGGACCAAATTGACAAAGCTCTTTTTGCTGAGCAGCAGCAGCAATCTCCAACTGTTGAAATGGATCTGTGTATTCCTTTGGAGTCCAGTTTAATTAATGTTCAAGATGGCATGAAATTTACTCTCAAGGAATACCTCCAAAACATGGACTGTCCTCACTTGCTACTTATTCTTCTTCGACATTTTGCATGACTTCCATGACGAAGTCATGCCACCCAAGTTGAATCTCGACTAGTAAGTCACTACTTATGTGATTTCAGTTAGTTCTTATTTATTTATTTTACTTTTTTATTTTTTTTAAAAAAGAGTAAAAAATAAAGACATTGCTTATATGAAAGGATACTGAAAATTTTTCAGCCTGTTCAAGAACCCTTTCAAAAAATTGAGTTAGATCAAGAATTTTTCAGCACCTCTTCATACAAGGTATAAAAGATTAAGATTTGTTTTTTGTAGTAAAGATTTAAATAAGCCATAACTGAACTTTTGTTTCATAAGTGATTAATAAATTTATTTAAGTGGTTTTTGTTTTATTATTAATCAATCATTTGTAAAAGAAAAAACTTAAAGAAAAAATGTGTCTATTTTTTTTTTTTTTTTTTAAGCTGCATTTTTACAGTTTTCTTGTGTTGGTAGTAAGCAATGACATATTACAACTTAATTGCTTCTCTCCTGACTTTCACTGGGTATGTGTGTTAATAGCATTTAAGAAACAAACAAATAAATCATATCTTGAATTTTATTATTGGATGAAGCATTGTGAAACTATTAATTATTATTTTTACTAGTATTTTTTTCATCTAAATTCAAGTAGTTTTTATTACAGCTATTAAGATTGTCATTCTATTGCTGTTATTTCTAATCCATGCTATTTACTGTCATAGAATGACAATCTCAGGCAGTGTTTTTCAACTTTTTTTTTACTTTAGAGGACACTTATAATGACCAATTTAAATCCTTTTAAATCGATAATGACCAATTTAAATCCTTTTAAATCGATAATGACCAATTTAAATCCTTTTAAATCGATAATGACCAATTTAAATCCTTTTAAATCGATAATGACCAATTTAAATCCTTTTAAATCGATAATGACCAATTTAAATCCTTTGAGGAAGGCAAAAGAAAAGAGTATCCACTCCTAAAAGATTAAGAAATTTCACATCCAGTTTAAAATATCAAATGACCAAAAATTGATATAGACATAGAAGTTATGTGCTTGGTGTCTCTAATTTTTAAAAAATAAAGATTTTTTTTTTTAATCTAAAAATATTTAATAAATTACTCTTCTGTTAACTTGGGGGCACACATTAGTAGCCTGGGCACACAAGTTGAGAAACATTGGTCTGAAGCATTGAAATGAAAGATAACTGAAATTAAAATGAGGTAAAAACTAGTCAAAATATTAAGATTGATAAACAAATAAGAATTTTATATTTTCTTTTTTATAATAGACATTTGTACTAGAATTTGAATGCTGATAATCATTTTGCCAGCCTTTGACTTAGGGAAAATAATAAAACACATTCATCTATATATTCATTATCCTGTTATAAATGCTCATTTTTCTTTGATTTTGCAGGATGAAATAAAAGCAGCTGGTGCTCATGTGATGCTTGTAACTTTTGGTCTTCTTGATGGAGCGAGGCAGTGGTTGAAAGAAACAAATTCTTCTTTACCTTTTTACCAAGATCCTTCTAGAAATGTATGTGGCTTTCCTTTGTCTTTTCTATGAATGTTATGTTGCCTTTTTTTTGTGGTTCCCCAACTACATAAATTTAAGCATGTTACTAGACTGGCATCTAGGTCTTGCCCTTTTACCATTATTTCTACTTCAACAGCTTCTTTTCTTGCACTTCCTGCCTGTGGAACTCCTTTCCATTTACTTGCTTCTCTGATAACTACAATCTTCAAAAACTTAAAATGCAATGATGTTCTGATGTCTTGAACTTCATTCATCTTTTATTCTTTCCTCATTCCCTCTACAGTTTTTTTTTTTTTGTTTTTTTTTTTTTTTTTTTTTGTTTTCTCACCTTCACTCTATGTAACCCCCTGTGAACCAGTGGTACTCCCACCTTGCTTGGGGTGAAATACTCAAGAAAAAAAAAGTTATCATACAATTAAAAATGATATTTCTGACTAAAATTCACATGTCACAGTGAAGAAACTAGACAAGATAAAACAATATGAGCAAACTCATCATTAAAGTACTAATTGATAGCTAGAATCAGTTGTTCTTGAATACAATGATATGCAAACGTTTTTGGCAATATTGAATTAAGGCAATTATTCAAGCCAAAGGCAGTAACACTAATTACTAACTTCGTACTTTGATGTTTTGTACTTTCTGAAATAATAAAGATTACTTGTTGCAAAAAAAATCCTTTTTAACTCCAGAAAAGAGTTGAAAGGTGAATTTTTTGTTGATGGCCCAGTATTTTTGGATCACTTTTTTTCAGCATCACTATGCTTAAGATGTCCTATCATTGACAATTAACAAAAATGTAACTTGTTTTTTGGCCCTCAAAGATCACCAGATGTACTGAGAAAAGCATATTGTTAATCACTCTTGATTTTAGGGTAACAATGTAATTAATTTACCAAGGTGGCCCAAAGTTTTGCATGCCAATGTAGATAATCTTCTATGTGATATGTCCCATCAGGATGTGTGTGATCATGGCTCTCCACAATTTCCTGTTCTTCATAGTGCTTAGTAAATTTTATCTTTTTGCTAATCTATATTCTGCCAACCATTTACACAAGCTTATTATGTAGGTTACGCATTGCTTTCTTCTCTCCTGTCTTAAATATGTTCTGTAAATTTCAAACTTTTTAAACCCTCTTTCCTCATTATGTGCCCTAGAAATCCAACTTTTTTTTATGTTAATTATAAGTATCCTTATGCAGGCTAAGTTTGTTTGCATGTGTCAACAGTAGCTGCTACCTTCCCCTGCCGTTTTCATGTGACTGATAACTACAATTTATACACACAGATAAAACAACGTAAATCTGTCACATACATCCTAACACATGTAGATGCCTTCTGTTTTTGCTATCAGTTATGTGCCATGTGTGATACACGCGTAGGTGATCAGGTATCTTTCAATACATGACTGACGAGGCAGATTTTTTTCCGCAGTAGGTTGCCATTTCTTTCTTTGGTAGACCAGTTACCATCCAAGGCTACAGAACCCAGTCTGTCCTGCTATTTACCCATAGCTGGGGGGAGAAGAAGAGGATTCATACATTTTCCAAGAGTATTAGCACGTAAGTGAATGTAATGGATTCAATTGGAATTCGAACTTGGCTCTCCAATTCCTCAATCCAAGCAGCTATCCATGACTCCAGTGCCTCCGTTTTGCTTTGTGAACAATTTCACACAAAATTTTTTTTTTTTTTTTTTTTACAATATAACCGAATGAATCATGTTATATTTTGCTATACTAACACAAGTCATTCAGTTGTATTGTAAAAAAAAAAAAAAAAATACACAATATTTTGTGTGAAGTTGTTTGCAAAGAATCTTTGTAATTCATTTGTTTCAATTTGAAGAAAAGGTAATACTTGAATAATAAAAAAATTATTGAAATTTGTAGAGCTGTGTTTGAAGATTCACTTAATTCTTCATTTATACATGCATATACTGCTACACTGGTATTTCCAAGCAGTCACCCATCTTGGTACTGACCAGGCTCAACATTGCTTAACTTCAGTGATCATATGAGAACTGGTATTTCAATGTGATATGGCTGTAAGCCCAAATGCTGGTCTGAATAATTTATGAAACACCATCACCAGTCTTTTCAAACAATTTCAAATAACTGCAGGATATTGATTCTAATTCTTTACAGATTCCTTTCTTTAATGCGTGCATCACTCTGATTTTTCTCAAAAGATAGTGTCTTCCTGTTGCCTTCTTCAGTTTGGAATTCACTTTTCCTTCTCTTAGACTGACCCCCAAGTTTGGAGAACAATAGGTTTTTTGGGGTTTTTTTTTCCAATCTCTGATGAATCATTTTCAATCAATATAAATTTGTAGTTGAATATTTTTTTACCTCCATTTTGAATTCAGTTACACTTTCTTTATTTAGTGCAACATGAATCTGAAAGAATTAAACACTGGAGAATTATTTGTTACTTTCAATTTGTGTTGCTTACTAACGTCTGCAGAAAGATAGTTTGAGAATTGCAATGAAAAGCAACTGAAATAATAAAGAAATTTAAAAGAAAAAAATTAATATAATTTTGTCTAAAATGTTGAGATAATTGTTAATTATTATATTTTTCCACAATTATCTTCAAATTGTTAATTTTGCGCATTTTAGCTGGTCCATTTCGTTGCTTTCCTCGTGTGAATAACTTTTTTGTTATTGAGTTATGTCCCTTTAATATTTTTGGCACAAAGACAATATATGGTTGTCAGCAAAAAGAAAGTGTTCATGCGAATTGCAAATTGGAGATGCTAAAATTGAGCAAGTACAAAAATTTAAATATCTAGGAAGTGTTTTAATGGAAAATGTGTCACCAAAATCCGAAGGCAAACTGGGATAGTCAAAGATGCATTCAGGAAGCCAAGCACAGTATTAACAGAAAATCTTTGTTAGAAAAAAAATAAGAAAAAAAAGAGTAATGAACTGTTATGTGATGCCTGTCCTATATGACAGTAAATGCTGAACAATATCCTCACAGATGAAGAAGAGGCTTAAGACAACAGAAATGTGGTTCTACAGAAGGATGCAGAGAATATTGAGGATTGAACATGTGAGCAACAACAAAATTTTAGAGAAAATTGAACCCTGATTTTATTTTTTTTTATTATTATTTTTTTTAATTCTTTAACTCTGAAATCAAAATTAAGAGGGGGAAGGATAAAAAAAACAATTTATTGGACAAGAGTGTTAATTCTATATTGCAAATATTTAAATGTTTTAAGCAAATGAATTTAAATGCAAACAGTTGTTGTGTCCCCATTCAACCAACCAGACGGTCAGTCTAGTTCTAAAAATAATATGCTGTCTTGTTTTATGATTGGCATTGCTATTGGAAACCATAGCAGGCCAGACAGCTATTCAGTGTTTTGAAGGAGGGCCATGATATCAAATATAATATAATAAATTCTCGACCTCTGACTGCTCCATCCAGAAGGTTGCTTTGGTATGGAGGTTTACAGAAAAAGAACAAAGTTAATGTTAAAAAAAGATGCCATATTTTAATTAACACAATCAACAAAAAATACAAATTCCTTGCTATTTGTAAGTTGGCGGTTCGGGCAAAAATCCTTTGTGGACTGGATGTGGCCCAGGGATTTCCAACCCCTGATTTAAACCATAGTACATACCAAATAATGAGTAAATAAAAATCAAACTTCCTGCCAAGAGGTTTGACCAGCAGCCTCTATTGGAGGTCAAGTGTTTCAGATTCTTTCTCTTTATACTTTGCATTCTTTTTCCATTGGAAGATAATCTCAACTGCTTCAAACAAAATCTTTCCTTCTTCCTACTAAGGAACTTCATTGAATTGTTGTTCACTATTTCAATGTTGTCTTTTTTTTTTTTTTTAAGTAATAGGTAGATTACTTTCAAAGATTTTTATTGAATACCTGATTGTATATTTTTTTTTTTTTTTTTTTTAATTTTTTCTTGACCTATTCTCTATTACTCTTGCATAAGACATTGTTTGTTTATAACTATTAGATTTATTAAGTTTAAATTTACAATTTTATTGTATTGGTTCTTTTAAATGTTTAATTTTTCAGTTATAATTGTTTGAGTCAGAGCATAAATTTCATTGATTATATATTTAATAATTAATTTCTTTAGTATTGGTTCTCTCAATGATTTGAGTTTAGATAATGTCTTTTTTATAACCTTAACTTACCTTATTTAACCCTAAGGCTTCTTACCTTATTAGTTCATGATTATTTTAATTCAGTTAATTGATATTTATCAATTAACAGTAATTATTTTTAAAATAATATACTAAAACCCATGTTCTAGGATAACATTAACAATCACAGAAAATTTACTGGTCATATTTCTAGATGTCCTTGAATTATGTGATAAGAGTTAAATAAATTAAAAGATTTTCCTTCTCTTCTATTTTTAGTTGTATACTACCTTTGGATTGTCAAGATCTGTGAAAAAGGTAAAAAGTTCTTTTTTTTTCATCTTCTAATAACCTGTTATGGTTTGTAAAACAAAAATTATAATTAACAAATCAGACTCCTAAAACAAATTGTCAATTATGTCTTATAACTTCGGAGTTAATCTTTTATTTAATCCTCATAGCAGAGCAATTATTTGAACAGTAAACAAAAGATAAAACTGATAAAAAATAGATCAAACTTTGTATTCATTATCTCAGCAATGAGATGCTCTAAATCTTCCTTTTTATTTTTTTGTTACTGCTTGAATTTTATTATATACATAATGTTTATATTGGATTTCAAAAGTTAGATAAATCTTTTTACTAAATGTCTACTCGTACAATCTTTTTTAGGTTGATTTTAAATTTGTAGTAACTGTTATAACATTGATGTTTCTTATGTCTCTGTATGACGAAGAAAATGTTATATGCATCATCAATTTTTTAATAATTTTCTATTACAATAGTAGAATCAGTTATTTCACTTATTTTGTTTCAGACACTGTACCCTCAGTCCTTCTTCAGTATCTGATATGAGTAACTGTCAAAATCAACAGACATCTGAAGAAGGCCAGGGTGCACAGCAGCTGAAACATGATAATAACAATGAAGACAATGACATTAGTCTGAAGGTAAATAACTCTTCACGCTAGAAATTAACAGAATTTTCCATTTTGATTTGTCTTATCTCTAATTAGGTGTGGGGCATGGCCTCTATGATCTGTTATGCTGAACACCTGTGTAGTGGTCACACCTTACCAAAGCCTTATGAAAATTATCAAGAAGATATTTTCCAAGTAAGCATCCATTTTCTTAATCTGAAGGAAAGCCATTAATTCTTTGATATTTTGGATTTATTTTTACAGGCATTACCAAAGAGATAATGTACTATTATTTTTTGTTTTAAGTAAATTTTTGAAGAAATTTTAAATACTTTTTTTTTTTTTTTTATGATCATTATCTAAAACATGAATGAAAAAAATTTATGTCTTGAAGGACAGTAATCATTTGGAAATGTATTAAGATATTTCATTATCTCTATAAAAAAAGAAAAAACATTAACTTAAAATTTTTTTTTCTTTTGTTTTAATAGATTAACACTGCTCCCCAGTTTTTTGAACAAGAATAGTGATTTATCCCTTGTTTCGTGTTTAAGATTGGATTTCTGATTCCTTCCAAAGTCTTTTCATTCTCTTTCACTCGCAGTGTCTTAGTGACATTATCAGCTCACTTTTCTTTTTTTTTTTTTTAAAAAAAAAAAAAAGTATTTAAAATTTCTTCACTTTGATTTTCATCTAGAACGACACTGCACAAAATTTGAATGTTTATTTCATTACATTTTTCTAAATGAACATCATGTATGTATTTAATATTCAGTTAGTGCTAATAGATACAACTTAATGTTGTTTTTTTAACTGTACTCATTATCAAAGATAGATCTAAATTTCAAAATATATGTTTTTAAGAGCCTGGTAAACATGGACAAATGTGCTTGCAATAAGACAGTGTCAAAAGAACATTTTTTTTTCCTCTTATGTCACTTTTTTAAACTACTTCCACTCCCTTATTGCTTTAAGAAGCGATGATTAGAATCGGAATAATTTATTTATTAAATTGTTTATTTACACTACTGTTTATTGGAATAGTTGGTAAAACATCAACTAATTGCCAATTGATTCAAACTTTATAAAATGGTAAATAAGGATTTCCTTATAGTTGGTTCACATATTTTAATAATTTAGTAAATGTTTGTAAATTTATGAATAAAATATTGTTTTCACATTTATTTCTTTATAAATTGGTAAATGACAAATATTGCATTGTATTAATTCTAACTGCATTCATTTTTAGAATTTTGTCAATATAAAATTATTCTTGTAAATAAAGTGTTTAATATTTTTGTTGTGAATTCTCAAGAACAAAGTAAATATATAAATTCACTTACATCATGCTTAGGTTTTATTCCAATTCTAATTATCACTTCTTTTTTTCTCACATTTTTGTTGTGAGAAAAAAAGAAGTGATAATTAGAATGGTAATCTCACACCAATAAGTGTATCCCAACTAGCACATAAATTTATTACATCAAACTTAGTATAAAGAGAACAAAAACATCCTGAAGAGTAGACAGAACAATTATGGAAATGTTTATCTATGAAACTAGAGTCGAGGTGTTGAATATAACATCAATCAGTTAAGTGAAAAATTTTATATTTGTCTTAATCATCATTTATATATATATATATATATATATATATATATATATATATATATATATGAGAGAGAGAGTTTGTGTGTGGGTATATGTGCACATAATACACTCATTCACAAATCACTCCTGCAGGTTTTCATTTACATATTGAATAAATTAAGTTTTAATAATCAAGATTGGAACAAAATTAATGGCTCTTACAAAAATTATGGTTATTTCACAGGAATTATATTAGGTGATGTGCATATGTAATTAAATTTGTGGATATTTTAAGTGTTTTTAATAAAACTCTTGGAAATCACTTATTTTAGATGGGTGGTGATTTCATCACCAACCAATTTGGTTCAGTGATATTTGCCTACTGCAGCAAGACCTCAGCTGACCGTCCTTCAGTGGATCAAATTTTATATGCATTACAAGTAAGTTATTAGAAATGTAATTAAACTCTCAAATTGGAATAACTGTTATTAATGTCGCATTAAAATCAAAGGAAATACAATTATTTCATAACCTAGTATTTGGATTTTTTTTTTCATATACATACATTAAAAATGCAAATGGGGGGCAAATAAATTTCATATTTAGTTTCTTTATATTTTTAAATAATTATAATTTTTTAAATGATGAGGATTATTTTGCTATATTTAAGTCTTGTATGTGAATGAAAAGATTTTTTTTTTCTGAGCATTAGACATTTGAGTTGTCTGGAGAATGTTAAAAAAGCACTTAAATGAAATAAAGCATGATAAAAGATCTTTAGAAATTTTTTATGACTCAGTTTGTTTTAACAGCTTTGAACTTTTGTTATTAATTTTTATTTCCTAATCCAAATGGCAATTCATTAAATTTCCCAACCGAGAAAAAGTCTTTTTAATTTTATAAAAAAAAAAAATTATATCAACTTGAATCATTCTCTCTCTAAATTTCATCTCATGTTAGATTAATACACATTTCCAATAGAAAAAATCTGAGATTTTTGTTATACTTTTACAATTTGATTAGATTTTATTAATTTCATCACTCACTGCTTTAAGATATGTTAATTAAACCTATACACATCAGTATTATATTTTGTATGAATGTAGAGTGGAGAGAAAAAATAAAAGAATCTAACAAGTAAATGATGTCATTAAATTTCAGAACACCACCAGCTGTGAATCTCATAAAAGATAGCTTGCTAGAAGCACTGTAATGAAAGTTCCAGGAAAAAGCAGTTGCACTGGGATCTGGAACTGGATGCCAGACATTTAATTTTGCTGACAGCACGAACATGAAAAATGAAACATCTATCTAGATCAACATTTCTCAAACATTTTTACCCTTGTAGAATCCCTGAAATAATGCCTTGGGGGAACCGGCGTAAAAATGATTATATACCATTATTATCTATTTTTATCATAGTTTATATAGTAAACATAATGTATGTACTTCATACATGTCCTGTACTCAAGTGGGTCACTCAGTGGTACATGAATTGGCCATGTACAGGTCCTGTCCACTCACCAGTGAAGGTGGTTTCCCACTGATGCCATATAGATATTGCTAAATATGTTCCCTATGATCATTATAATTTTATATATATATATAACCAAGTTATTACAATTACCAAGGATTTTTGAGAAACACTGAATTAGATACATGGATGTGTAAGAATGTTGTTTTATGAGGGAATACTGAAAAGTTCTTAGCCTGACCAAGAAGGGATACATCTGATGATTGATCATTTGATTTTGGAAAGGAGATTGGACCAAGAACTTTTTACTTTTTTATCATATATATACTAATTAAGTTTCTATTTGAGATATCTCATAATACAAGAGAATTTTCATCATGGGCATGACGTAATTGATGAAGAAAGTGGTTGACTAAACATTTGGGTAAACTACTCTTTCATAAACACTTACTTGTCCAAATTATAACAGAAAAAGAATGTCACCTATTGTTAACTGACATGAATATTTAGCTATTTTATACATTTGTATTACCTTTTTGTTATTAAAAAAAAAAATCTTATATGGAAAATTTTGTTTGCTTTATCATTTTGTTCAACATGAAATCACCAGTATCTTAAAATATCTTTCCATTTGGCTGATAACTATATTTGACTGTCACAACAATACTTTTCATGAAGAAATCTTTGTTCAAAGAACTGATAAAGCTATTAGAGTATTTAGTTTAATCCTGGTTGGTTTGGAGAAGTTTTTGTTTGTAAGTGATCTGAAAAAAAAAATCCATAGGATATAGTTTGGTTGAATAGACAGTGTAATAAAGTCTTAATCTTAAATTAATTAAACTTTTAGTTAAGGTCATTTTTGCAAGATCCATTTCCTTATTATGCACCAAACTGTGCTCTATTACATATCGATCTGTATTGTTTGATAATTTTGAAAGTTATAGTGTATTAAATACTTTTGTTCCATCAATGCATAATAGTTTGAGCAACCATTATACAAAATCATCATGATTATATACTGCATTGTTAAATAAATTTCATAGAATTGAACATGATTAACAAAAGCCTCTACAAATTTCTCATTTAAATGCAACTGATATTTTTGACAATCACACTTAAATTATTTGAAATATGACTTGTGTTGATGTTTGTAACTTCTCTGACCAAAGTTCTTTTTTAATCTTCATAAGTTGATAATTCTGGCCAACCTCTTGTAACTTTTAAATTCAATTCTCTACTTAGAAATATTTGAAATCCCAAATTTTACAGTTTGTTCTTTAACAGTATTGTATAAAAGGGTAGTAACCCTAGTTCAGCATGAGAATGCCTAGTGGTGTTTAGAAGCAGGAAATAATTAAGATTAAACTGTGAACCTAATTAGACTTTGAGAAAAAGGATAGAATGAATCAAAAATAATAATTACAAGCCATAAAATGAATTTGGAGAAAGCTCTGCGAATATTTGAATCAGAAATAAACCAAGTAGAATTTATTGAGATTTAGTAAGACGAGATCTACCACCAACCCACCCAATTGCCTTTGCTTAGTTTTCAAAGAATTTACAACTGCGAGGATTTCACACCTGAAATCTCTTTGGAATCCTACCAACTACTGGGCAAAATCTCTGTAGAATCTAGTTACCTCCCAGCTGGCTAATCTTGACATGCAATGGTCATGAAAAAAAAAAAAAAAAACATTGCCAAGAATGGTATGGTTTTGGTAGTGTTGGGGCAGGGAATGATGGATCAACAAAACAAAAATAAGTGGTACTAGTGGTGACTGTCTGGCCAGCTGGTGATTATAATTGATCCCAGGTATGAAATTTGTATTCTTTCCATTTTTCAGCCCAACTTGTACATGTATAAAACACCACAATGAGTTCAAAGGCTTTCTATTTACTTAAAATCATATGTAATTTATTACCTAATAATTAAAGTGTTACCCCCCCCCCAATTTAAAAAAAAAATCAATCTCAAATCAGCAATTTCATGCTCTCTGATTAAAGAATCAGTTTTCAAAATATCCACTCTTTGAAAGCACAAACGTTTGTAGATTTTATTAAGTCCTCAAATGTTAATGATGCTAAAAGTGAAATTTCACTGTAAGCAAATTAGTTACTGAAATTGAGATGACTTGAAAGACCACTACTTATTTAATTAAATGTCAAGAAAATTACTTTATGTACGGTTTGACTATTATATTTTAAATAGTGAAGACTAATTTACAATAGGAATACAGTAATAGATCAATTTAGCAGTGTTTTGTTGAAGTTGGCAAAAAACTTCCACTTGCTTGTAAATTTTTAACATGCTCTTGACAAAGAAACAAGTTATAGTTTTATCAACATGAGCTATGCTAATATTAAGCAAAAAGTTATTTTACCACAAAGTAATTTTCTAATTAAAAATTACATATTTTCAATTCAATTTCTAAATTATTTTTTTTTAATTTTAAGCCCTAAACAAATTATATTGTGACAAAGTGGATTTATTTACTTAATCTTCAATCACAACTTTAGCTTACTATAAGTTTGTTTGCTAAACAATCTTGTTCCATAACAAGATCAAAATATTGGCAGTATGATAGCAAGACCTTTTTTTTCTTCTTTATTACAAAACTTAAGATGAATCAAAATAAATATTTTATAGCACAGTTATTTCATGGCATGTTAAGATTTTCAGAATATATTACAGTAATTAGATTGTAATTTCACTATTGATCAACTTTTATCATAAAGAAGTGTAATACTAATAGGAAAAAAAAAAGAAACACATTGAAAGTATAAAGATGAAAAAAAAAATCTATAGCACAAAAACAATCTTCTGGAGACAGCTAGCCCATATTTCCTTGGGTTAGTCTCAGGAGAGCTAGTTTGCTTATTTAGCAAATAAGCTTGTCATTTTGTGGCTTTTAAGAAAAACTTGTAAAAAAAAAAAAAAAAATCAAATCTTCAAAAAGGTTAATTAAAATCAAAATAAGAGACAAGTAGCCATAAGAAAATATTCCAACAATTTTATTGAGGAATTGTTGAATAGCCTGTTTTCAGCAACTGCAGACCATCGGCTCGGAAATGAAAGGAGTCTTGGAAGGGGATGATCCAGATGGCTGTTGTTGGTGTCAACATACAAGAGAAGCAATGGGGTAGGATGTAGAGAAAATAGAAGTGATCATGAGAAGATTGCAAATTGAAAAAAATTGATAGAGGACACAGCACAACAGGGTGGATTATATATATATATTCTGTGGCATTTCAGACTTGGCAGGGAGCAGTGGAAATAGTTTTTGGTATGAGAAAAAAAAAATTGTGTGTTGTTCATTGTTTTATTAGCATGAGCTTTCAAAATTTTAATCTCCTGAAGATAGGAAAAAGGGTGTCTTAGGTAACTAAGAATTAAGACAACAGGTTGGGGTAGGAGAAAGCACAGCTGTAAATTTTCAGATGATTGACAAAGGAAAAAAAATTTTAACCATGTACCATTTAAGATTTTTGACAGCATTTATCTTGTTTCCAGGGTCATAATGTTTTATGACAGATTAAATTTAATAAAGACAAGTATTTAAAAAAAAAAAAAAAAAACAAAGTCAGTAGTTTTGCATTTAGTATTTTATGACAAAGTTGTCAGCTGATCAAACATTTCTTCCACTTGGTTTATTATGTTAAGGAAATTTATGATCAGATTGCCTTTTAAATATTTCTTATAATCTAAGGAAAAATATAAATGCTGTCAAAATGTTAAATAAGATATTTGACAAATCCTACATGGTGAAAATAAATATGTTTTGTGAATAAATAATTAACTGCTACTACACTGTCTGATATTTTGTGTGAGGATTTCACAAGTACTAGGCTGACCATATAAGAAGAAAAAAAAAAAAAAAAAACCTCTTTGGTCATGGTCTGAATTTGGTATTCCTTTTCTTATGTGAGTTGACCAGTCTCATTCAACTTGGCACTTGGAATCTCAAAACCTTTTAGCTTTTGGCCTGTAGAACCAAAATCACAAGTGCTACAATTTTATTTTTTTCTTTCATTAAGAAGTTTTTCACATTATCGGACATTTGCACAAGTCCTAAACAACAAAATAAAGATTCATAATGAAAACACCAACTGTGTGCTTTAAAAGGTTAAGAGTGGGGAGCTTAATAGTCACAGCAAGTCATCTCACTGGAAGCTTACAAGTATTGTGGGGGTGAGGTTTTTATAGAATATAATTATTTCTATAAGCTTACAGGAGGGATGACTTGTTATTACTTTTTTTTTGTTTTATTTTATAAGGAGATGGTACTTTTTCAAATTTTCTCTTGTCTATTTTCTACTTAAATTCCTCAATAAATATTTTTTCATATATCTTTCTGTTAAATGAACCTTTTGAGAAAAAAAATTGGAACAAAAAGCTCAAATAAAACATGGTAAATAATCTTTTTTTTCTCTTTTCTATAAAATGTACATTTTGAAAATGAATCAGTTTTTTTTTCCATTTTTCACATGAAATTAAGTGAGAAAAGTCAGTGTATGATGAGGACACAATGTTTGAATAGGTGAGAAGAATAAGAGTGAAGCAGCATAGATGTTCTACACCAGTTATTAACCAATTTCCTCAGGTCACTTCTCAACTAGAACCAGATCTTATGTGTGTGTATATATATATATATATATATATACACACATAAGTTTTATCAACCAGAATCACAATTAGCTCCCACTAAAAATCTTGACTTGA